TCGTTGTTGCCCAGAGCTAATGTTAGCGTTAGCTCACATAATGATCCACATTACGGACCCTGTACGAGCTGAGTCACTCAATTATTCTCCTTTCATGTGCTTCCAGTATCCATTACCTTCGTCCTCAATCTGCCAACTGTTGCAGCGCTAAAAGGCCGACCCTCCCTTCTTCTTCTCTGATTGTGTTGAGTGTTCTGCTAACAGCCGCTCCATTGTGCTTATGGCTGCAGTATTCACTTACTCCCTTTCCACTTTAGTAGTAGATCTCCATGGTTACCTCCTGATGTAGTGTGCAGGGAGGATCTCACCTTGTTTAGAAGTCACAATGCATTGACAGCTCTTTCTGCTCCGAGGTCAGCTGATACCGGCAAAACAATTGTTGTTCTGTTTGTTGTTGCCTGTCCTCACAGCCTTTTTTTTGTGTGCCTCTGACGCTGCTGCTTTGTGGGGGTTGGTGAACATAAGTGTTGCTTTTATTATGCTCTAAGGGTCTTCACATGTTTTCTGATCATTCAGTTACAACCAGATAAAGGCAATATACCTCACCTGAAAGTCAGTAAGCAGAGCTCAATTAACAGTGTGTGTTAATGAAATGTATTCTGGCTACTATCCAGGATCATTTAAATATACAGTATGTAATTAAGACTCTTATACCCACATTAAACATACCTGTAATTAAAAACACTTTTCCCCAATTTTTTCCCAATCTTCTGATCTTTAAGAGACTAAACAGGGTTTTTTCTAGAAAAATATAGTATGAGGGCGCTGATCTTGTGTATATGATATATACATTTTTGCGGTAACATAACGCTCGTATACAGGATGGCGCCATGGACGTAAACAACAACGTGACGTCGGAGCTCCTTAAAAACAAAGCTGTCTCTGCCGCCTGACGCTCTGTTTGATACCACTCTCCCATCTGTCAGTTGAATATGAAGCTACAGTCGGTTAGCTTAGCTTAGCTTAGCTTAGCATTTTTCAAAGAGGCACCTTTTTATTTGTTAATAAATACATATTTTTATTCCATCAAGAAAGATAAAGGACCACATTTTTAGGGATTACTTTTCTGTGTAGAAAAACCTTCATAGGGTTATAATGTTATATTTTCTAAGCGTCCCTGCATAAATAAAGCACACAAATGTATGTCTAGCAACATTTTGTGAGTTTGTGCTTACATAATATAACTCTGGTTTTGATATTAGTAATTTCAAACACGTTAAACGCAATCAATGCAACCCCCATCATCCCAGGTATTTTCCTATTTGCTTTCATCCTTTTCTCTGTCACGATCTCCCTGGACGGAAGATCAATTAACAGATAATCAATGTGTGTATGATCCATAAGCGTGGATTTATGACAGGCTAATTCTGCTTGATTAATACAACTGGTTTTTAAGATTAGGCTCTTGACAGGACCACATAAAGAGTAGACATGTAGACTACACCAGAACATGGGTTCCATATTGTGGCGACATAATCTCGCTCTGCATGTGTGTGAGCAACTAAAATGTGTGTGTGCTTCACATTTTTCACCGCAGCTAGCTGGAAGTCTTGTCTGGTTTCTGTGGGTTTTGGGTCCACTCACTCACCAGCTCACTATGGCTCTCCTCCAGAGAAAATATTTCCGTTCATCCCCAGACTCTAGATTATTCTGCTTTTGGCACTTTTAAGACTCTTTAAACCCCCTACCCCTCAACATCTCTCTGTATTTATACTTCTTTCCTTAAAAAAAAAACCCCCCAAACTATCATCCCTTCTCCTGTCAGTCGCTCTCTGCCTCTGTGTTGTAATTGAAAGCAGCTGTGACGGGGTTACTATAGTTCATAGAGAGCAGCTTTTGGAGGAAGGCCCAGGCGTCATTTAAAGATCCAGTTACCCAAAATGTAGGAAAGCCACTGAATACATGCGACTTCAGTCAGAAGGCTGAACGTGCACTCTGAAGCGTTCATTAGCTTTGTCGTCACGGTGATAACTATGTCTTTCACGATCATATCAGTTAGATATCACAACTTCTGCTTGACTATGAATTATGTTTACAGCAAATAGGAACTAGCTATTGCTTTGCTGAATCTAAACAGACTTGCAAAAAAGATTTACAGCATATATTTCATTACATTATTTCTGCTTAAATGCTCAATAAGTGATTTGTTACTTTAGGGTTAATCTGCCTTTTATACCGTGTAGCAATAAATATAGAACAAAAACAACACAAATCTCAATTAAACAGAACCAAATGCAAAAAAATAAAACCTATAAGTAAATGAAGTAGCTGGGGAATAGTATCATATTATATCAATACCGACAAATGCAAATCAAAATAGTTATTTAAAAAATAAATGTTTTTTCTATACAATTACTTCTTATATAAAAAGTATTATGATTATGGTGTGATTTGCCAAATGTGTTTTGTTACTGTATGTCTGTAGAATAAGATTGATTGGGTGGGATGTCTTTGCAGCCACAATACTGCATTTAATATGATATTTTAACACATATTTAGCCTATAGCCAAATGTTTTAAGCTTGCAATTTGAATATTGGACTAGTCCATATAGAGAGGTGAAGTCCCTCCCTTTCCGGGGGACCTCCGTGGGACCTTATTTCGGAAAAAGTATGTATTGAAGTCAATGGGGAGAGAAAGATTATCTTTCGATTCCGTTTGAATTGTGCCACGAATTACACATATGATGTTTGTCAATTTAAAAGATAATTTACAAGTCAAAAAAAAATAAAAATGTGTCGTAAAACTGGTGAAGTAACACTTTATTTTGTGTGAAACCGCTCAATGAACTACATCTCCCGTCTCGCACCACACACCAAGACGGCCCGTCACGTTGGCACATTTCACGTCTTTCTTTCAGAATGAGGCGAAAAGTATTAAAAGAGGTGAAAATCACTCCAAGTCTGGGCTGTTGAGAGCTGTACATACACACAAGGGGAGTTAGTCGGTTCCGTAAGAGCCAGCATGCGGGACCGGGATTCTGGGATTTGTAGTCTTTTCTAGTTGCGTATTTTTCATAGTCTTATATTTCAACAGTTTTACGACAAACTGTGGACTTTTTTGACATGGAAATTATTTTTTAAGATTGACAAACATCATATGTGTAATTCTGGCACAATTCAAACGGGATCGAAAGATAATCTTTCTCTCTCCATTGACTTCAATACATACATTTTCCGAAATAAGGTCCCATGGGTCGGAAGATAGATGGGCGGGGACTTCGCCTCTCTATTGCAATATCGATTACATTTTGCAGCCCTACTTGCTTTTTGTGCTGAGTTTGCAAGTAAACCACCTTGTCTCCAGTCTCTGCCCCTGTTGCCTACAGAAGCCCTCGGCCTGTTGAAGGTGTTGATGAGCAGCAGGAGCTCACAGTGTGTTTTCTCAGCCTCTCCCTTTAAGTGAATCTAATCTGTCTGACCTCCTCAAGTCCAGCTATTGGTTCACTATTAATAGGCTCAGGCCGAGCTGCTGTGCACACAGGAGCTGATAGATGTGGCTGAAAGACACCAAAGCGTGTTGAGCATCAGAAACATGCCTTCCTGTTACTTAGAACAACACATTATTTAAAGGTGGGGGTATGTAATGTATTTCAGAAACACTTTTTGTTATATTCCATGGAATGCTCTGAACATCCCGATAGCAATGAATATATTAAATGCTTTGACAATAAATACGTAAAAAATATCCTCTGTGGAAGCCGTGGCCTGTAAAAAGCACGACCAATCATCTGAGCCGGCCCGGCTAAAATAACTGGATGGGCCTACCTGCCTGTCAGCCTTCCATCTGTGCACAAACGTATCTCGTGCCCTCATTGGTCATCGTGGCGCGTTAGTGTGTGTTGGAGGAGGGGCTCTGTAAGGAAGTGGCAGATTTTTTCCGGTTGTGTATTTTCAAATTCTAGCGCACTCGAGCTGGTTTCTCCAAAATTACCTACCCCACCTTTAAGATAAGATAAAGATAAGAAGTACTTTATTGATCCCAATTTGGGAAATGTTTTCGTTGCAGCAGCGTAAAAAGACAAGGCATTATACATTAGGGCAATGAATGACAAATGGAAAACATATCAAAAGTGGCATACAAATGGAAATAAAATAGCATTACAAATATATCATGTTGTGATACAAATGTACAGCAACAACATAAAGCAGGATATTATATGGACATAAATTGTGTAAGGAATGGATTATGACATATTAAATTGAATATAAATGTAAAATACAATAGGAGTTTAAGTCCAGTTATCAAGAGAAACTATGGAGACAGGTGATTTGTTATACAGTGTTATGTTTATTATCAGATATCATTTGAGCTTCATCATAAATCAGACACCCTTCATTCATCTCATACTGTAGGGGAGATATGTTTCAGTGCTACAGCGAAGGGACGGGGCAAGTAAAAGCCAAATGCAATAAATAAACTGTGACTTTAATGTCTGTGACTTTTAGCCTGTGTTTGTAAACTGTGTGATGTTTTTATTTGCAGTTGCTAAAGAGACATTTCCATGTTATGTGGGATTTAATGAACAATAAAGTAATAAGAATTTGAAATAAAGAGGCAAGAAGAACATAATAAAATATGATAAAACTAAATAAGAATACATCCATGGTAAAAAATAAGTAACGCATTATAAGAGAGTAAATTAACATGTACAAATAGTGACGTAGCAGCCAGTAATAACAGTCAAAAATGTGTAATATTGCACACTGACTTGTTGAGGCAACATCCAGAGTAAGAGACATGTTTTGCCTTCATGATGTTTCTTGTTGAGCTTTGGCAACAAACCAATTGAAGCGTTCCCACGTTTATCGAGGGTCAATACACCAGACAACTATTTGAGTGATTACGCTGAGCAGGAACCAGTCCTTTCAGGAGTGATATCATTCATTTATCAGATATTTTCACAGTGACTCTTCTGTGTGTTGAAATACAGCTGCATGACGTATCTGCTCTGGTTTTGCCTGTCAGGTGCTAATCTCTGTTGTCTTTTCTCACCCACAGAGCGGAGAAAACAGAAGTCCTCAGCGATGACCTCCTGCAGGTAAATCATTAATCCTGCAGAGCTCTGAATGGCTGCATCTGTCAGACAGTGGCTGTGTTACATAGTCCCTGTGTTTGTCCCTTTTTGAAGCAAATCAGTCTGGTTAAAAAAAAGCAATTCCCAACACTTTGGTTTCTGTTCTCAATACTTAAAGGGCACCTATTATGCAAAATCCACTTTCTCATGTCTCTCTATACATCAACATGTGTCACCCTCTGTGTAAAGAGACTTATGACCTGAATCTTCTCCTAGAGCACCATTGCGTTCTTTTTAACCAAAATATCTCTCAGAGGGAGCGTGGGGAGGGGCTCCTTATTTCATCTAAGTAACAGACAGAAAATCAGCACTTTGAAACAGGGCTGAAACAGAGGGGATTATGGGATGCTGCAATGATCCTGTTTGGTGTTTGGAGCCAAACAGATCAGAGACATGTTTTGTATATATCTGAGACCTATAACAGATTGATGAAAAACAGTATAATAGGGGACCTTTAAAGGTAGGGTAGGTAGTTTGAGAAACCGGCTCGAGATCGCTAGAATTTTGAAAATACACAACCAGAAGAAATCTGCCACTTCCTTATAGAGCCCCTCCTCCAACACACACAAACGCGCACTATGACCAATGAGGGCACGAGATAAGTTTGTGCACAGATGGAAGGCTGACAGGCATGTAGGGCCATCCAGTTACTTTAGCCGGGCCGGCTCAAGATGATTGGTCGTGCTTTTTACAGTATCTACAGGCTTCCACAGATGATATTTTTTAATGGATTTTTTGTCAAAGCACTTAAGATATTCATTGCTATCGGGATGTTCAGGAGCATTCATGGAATATAACAAAAAGTGTATCTCGAGCCGGTTTCTCAAACTTACCTACCCCACCTTTAAGAGTTCTCTTCTTTACCTGGAAACTCTGGCTACACTTCTACATGGACAGATAAGTTGTAATATTACAACATGAAAGACCAGGATTAGGGTGCAGAACAAACACTAAAACATTGAGATCTTCTGAAAACATCAAGGCTAGAAATAGCACATTTACCAGTGAAATAATGGTTTAAATGTATGGCTAGTAGATTTGCTTCACTTACTGTGGTAATCTATTACGTGCCTGCTTATAATTTGAACATTCACTAGCCCTTTGTTTGTGGACAAAAAAAAAGGTAAATTTTTAACCCTGCATTAGCATCTTCAGAACATTGCACATCCTGGCTGTATTTATTGGACAGGAAGAGTCTGATTGAAGATTAAAGAGCAGATGGACCATGTGTGGGACAAACCCCAAAGTATGCAAGCTTCATGCCAATGTAACAGCAGCTGATAACCAATTATAGATCCATTTCTGTGGTTGAAGCATCATAATCAGTTGGTTGAAGCTCTTGGTGGAAATTAAGACTTTGATACATGGTTCATAAACTCTTTTGCAGATAAACAATAAGGTCTCAACTAGACTGCACGATGTTAGTGAAGCTGTAGATATATGTAATGAGTTGGTGGATAATATTTGAACCCGGGTGACTATAGCTAACAATGCTATTTGGACCCGGTGACTATAGCTAACAATGCTATTTGCACCCTGGTTGCCGTAGACAATGTTTCAAGATTCAGGCTTTATTGTCATTAGCACATTAGCTAAAGTGGTAGATATGGCAATGAAAACGTAGGTCACAGGCTCCTCCAACAGTGCAACATATATATAGGACATAGAACAAATATAACAGATAAAATAGTGCAAGAGAATGTTTTGAGATGTGCAAGTAAATACATGTGGCTATTTACACCCGGGTGTGTAGGACGGCAAAACCGATCATAATTAATTTGCAACTAACATTACTATCCGCTGTTAAAGTTTCCCTAAAAGTAAAATTCAACTTGGCTAAACTAGCTAAGCACATAACAAGTGTTCATTTAGACCATTTCATTTGAATAACAAGCAGTGAGAAGTCATAGTTGTTGTTAAAAGTATTATTTGTGTTTATTTTCTCCGTGTATCCCACCAAAGATGTACAAAGTGACGTTCCACCGTTAGTTTCGGTAGGTCGTAAATGGCCAAATAGCTGCAGTGGGACTTTTTTTCCGCCCGGGTGCAAATAGACCCTCCGTTATTAGTGTTATATAGCTTTATGTCTGCGTGTGAAAGCCGCCGGTACAGGGATTTCCTCAGGGTGAAAATCTCCAGCCTCTGAGACGGCAGGTGGGAAAAAATATTGGCCGCTCAGCAAAGACATTCCTGGGATGAATATCGTCTATTGTGTTTGAGATGAAGGGTTTCATGGATGTTAAAAGCAGCCACGACGTCTGAAGCCATTTTTATCCTCGTGTTTCATCCCCACACCCTGTATTGTAGTCTGTGTATAAACAAACAGAGCTTTGAATACCATCCTCTCTCTCAGGTGTTCACAGCATGTATTTGAGTGACAGCTAGAACATCAGAGTTATACTTAGAGCTGTCATCAGTGGATGAAATGGAAGTAGACAAGAGGACAGTGATGACTAACCGCTCAGGGGGCTTTTCACCAGAGAGAGGACGTTGCTTTATGACTGACAATTGACTTTCTCTGTTCCTCAAAGACACAATTGTTCTGCCTCCGTCTGAAATCAGCCGTTGTCGGCACTGTTTCCTCACTTGCTGTCCGTTAGAGAAAAGGGGAGTACATTCTGAGATTGCTGCTTTGTTTCTTGCCCTATTTATCGTCAGGAAAACAGACTCTGGAATAGTTGGGCAGTGTTTTATATGCAAGCTATTTTAGACTTTTAGTTTAACTTTGGTGTCTGTAGTTTCGCTCAGACTCCCCCTTCTTTTCCCACTTCTTCTTTTCTTTTACTCAACAACAAACCAGGATTTCCCCCATGTCGTATTCCTTTAAATCGTGTTCTTCTGCAAAGTCTTGTTCTGAAATGAAACTGAGAATGCATCTGATATCAACGTTGATCTAATTTGTTATTTTATATTTGATTCTCAGCCCCTGCATTTCAAGACTTCTTTAGTATTTGGTCTTCCTGGCTGCCAAAGAGCCACCCAGCATTCTTGTGCCAGCTGTCCGTTCCTTCATCTCCTCGACATAGCCGCTGATCCACAAGGGGGGGGGGGGGGGGAAGATACCAAAGAAATGCAGCAGACCTACCAAGGAGCCTGCTTGCAAACACCCTGGTAGTTGGGTGTAACCTTTTATAAGGTGGCAGAAAGCTGCTGTTAAATGGAAACGTTGGCATTTTTTAATCTGGACCCTATTTCCCCATGTTTCTATGTCAGGACTGTATTTTCTCGCAAGATATTAAAGAGTCCCATTTATGGTTTTTGGTGTTTTCCATTTCCTCTAGTGTGTTACATAGGTTTTTGTGCAGGTCTGCAAAGGGTACATTCCCTGTGTTCCCTCCATTGGACTCCTTTGTTTACTTCAATAACATAATGACATCACTTTGTAACACTCGTGCTTCTATTGGCTAGCGTTCCAACACATTTTACGTGATTAGGTTTAGGGGCGGGACATCTCTAAGCGGTTGAGCAATCATAACGGGTAAGCAGGTAAGCTGGCCAATCAGAGCAGACTGGGCTCTGGTTTCAGACAGAGGGTGAAAAGAGGTGCTGCAGCACAGGCAAAATTGACTTATTGGAGAGGGAGAGTAATGCTTTGCAATTCCCCCAAATGATGTTATTGCAGCTCATTTAGCCGCTGCAGCTCTCCAGCTCAGTACTAGGCCAATTTCAAAAATGGCATTAGTCACTTTTACACCAAAACGTTGAATAAGCTCCATGTTCAAAAATAACATTTTCCCTTCAACACTGATGTCACGAATCCCTAATGCAAACAAAGAGTATTCTGTGTTTTGAGCACTGCATCATCCCACCCTTAATGCGTCATGTAGGTTTTTTTTAGTTCATTTTGTACTTGTCCAGACATGTTAACATCCTCTCTTAGGAACCAATAAACAAACACCGGCACACAGGCAGACGCCCTCCCTGTCTGTCCCGCTCAGTATTGGGATTCCCTCTGTGACGCATCATGGGATAGACCAAGCGTTAACCTCATCACAAAGCCGGAGGAAAATCACACCCTGCTGCCTGCGGTGCTGTGGACTTCTTGGCTTTATTTAATTTCTTGCGTCCATTTGGTTACAATGAAAGGAAAAGGAGTACTCCCGGTGCCTTGTAACCAAAACATTTCCAGTTCTCCCACATGGGAATTGTGTTCCTCTTGGATCACAGAAAAGGGGAATCCCCTGCTTGTTCTGTGCCAGGTACTTACTGTTCTTCCCAAGCTTATTAAAGTGTGTATGCGTATGTTTTTGACAGGTTTGTATTTGACCCAGCTGTTTTAGGAATGCCAGGGGCCAGCATGGGTCGGGAATGACGTAAGAGCGCGAGAACAGAGGGAGGGGAGGGGAAGGGAAACGGTATCTGCTGCGGAATTCCAGAGATCCCACTGCATTCTGTTTTTGGAAACACAATTGTCTGGTATTTGGTTGAACCTCCCTGTGCGTTTCTGCTCATTTCGCTCTCCAGACCTCAGTGTTCCCGTTTTATATTTGGAACATTGTTTGTGCCAGCGTGTTTTTTCCGTTTGAGACTTTCTGTTGTGCTTTTTAGTTTCACAAAACGCGATGACACACCTGCTCCGATCTCACGAGCGCTGCCAACGCAAACCAGTTCTTTGCATCGTCAGACTTTCAAGTAGACTCGAACAGTAGCGTGCAATCATCTATCAGCTATTCATGGAGCGGTGACAGCCTGCCTAATGTTGACACTGACAGTCGGGCACCTGGCATGACGAGGACAGAGAATAGTCGTCCCGCAGAGCGTCAGTCGGCCTCTTGTCTTTAGGCCAGAATAGCTGTGACTCCCATCAATGACAGTATTATATCTTAAATCTGAAAGCACAGAGTGGAGCTGTTAGTGCAGCAGACAGGAGAAAGCCTGTGTAATCAAAAAGGCCATTAAAAAAAAACCCAGAAAAAGCGAAAGCCCCCCCTCGCTCTCGGTCACAGCCCAGGGCCCGTTGCTATAGAGACACTTCCGATGAGTCATGTGTTTGAAAGATAACATTCCTGCAGGGACGAGCTTGTTTCCATCATGCGTGAACTTTGACTCCCACGTCTCCCTCCAGGCAGCTACAAAGTGTGTGTGTGTGTGTGTGTGTGTGTGTGTGTGTGTGTGTGTGTGTGTGTGTGTGTGTGTGTGTGTGTGTGTGTGTGTGTGTGTGTGTGTGTGTGTGTGTGTGTGTGTGTGTGTGTGTGTGTGTGTGTGTGTGTGTGTGTGTGTGTGTGTGTGTGTGTGTGTGTCTGTGTGTGTGTGTGTGTGTGTGTGTGTGTGTGTGTGTGTGTGTGTGTGTGTGTGTGTGTGTGTGTGTGTGTGTGTGTGTGTGTGTGTGTGTGTGTGTGTGTGTGTGTGTGTGTGTGGAGCTGGGCCCCATCAGAACAGCACACACACTGTTGTGATGGTTTATAGACACAGTGTGTTTGTGGTCATAACGCATGTTAGCCATGTGTGTGTTATTGTGTGTTCTGGTACTGAACCAAACATGGCAGGATGTAGTTCAGGCCAGGATTGAAGGGTTGTACAAGTGAAAAATGTCACTTTGAAATGTAACTTGTTCTTCTGTTAATTAACGCCTTTTTCATTCAGGTTAGTGTTCAATTTATTCAATAAAACAATGTTGGAAATCATTTTTTTTTAAATCGATTTAACGGTCAATTTGTTTTATCTTTAGCAGTATAGGGAAATCACCAGAAAGGCAGGCCTGAGTAATATCTGTTTTATATATCGCAAGTATTATCATAGCAATATTCAACAGATTACCCCTCTACAAAACAAGAAGGAATCAATATAGTATAGTCAGGCTTTGATAAAGATAACAACATATTACAAAAAGAGTGGGACAATAAGTTTGTGGAGTTATTTAATGATAATCCTGTAATATTGTTCTGTTATTTGATGACTTTTATTCAATTCTATCTCATCTTGTGTGTGAATTGCTGAACTTTTAACCAAATGCTGCTGCTACTTGCTCTGGGATGGCATAAAATGAAATCTGACATGTTTACAGAAGGTATTTGCTTAATATGTATCCTTGCGTATCCTTTCTTGTGCCCACAGATTGAACGGCGCATGGAGTTGGTGCGCGTCGTGTCGCACAACACACACAAGAGGATGGTGTCGTGTCTACAGGGACACATCGGAGCAGAGGCAGAAAAGAGACATGTAAGACGTCTGGCTTGTTATAATAAAACACTTGTTACATCTCCAGTTTTTAATAAAGAACCAGGATGTGTAATTTCATTTTTTATATCACCTCGCACACAATTTTAAAGATGTTTTTATTCGAAGTGTCCACAGTAGGCGTACAGTCCATGATTTCTCTTTTGTTTTCTCTACCCCAAACCAAATACGCCCCACAGTCCGTTCCACGCCTCTATACAGGAAACGGTCAGGTAACGACACAGATCACTTCCTCCGCCTCTCTGGTTCTCAGCACCGCTCGCTCCGTTTCCCATTCAGACATCTGTCATCTTTGCTCTTTATGCATGACACTTTTCAGCCTCTGGGATCCTCTGGTTTAAAAACAGGATGTTGAACACTCAGAAATGTTTTGCACAGATGTAAACCATGTCGCCGTTAAGCGAGCGCCGGTGTTGTCGCTTGACAGATGTCTCACTTCCCTAGTTTGCATCTCAAGTCCCATTTAACATCTCTTCCTCTTCCTTTACTGCTCAATGGAAAGTCCTTGATGCATTTCCATTGGTTTCAACATCAAATACTGAAGCTACTGTATAGAAATGGGTTCTTTTAGTGCTTATGCATTGTTTTTATACGTACTTTATGTCTCAATATAAGTCTAATTATTGCCTCTTTCTCACAGAAAAAGCTTCCTCTCACTGCACTAATCCCAGGCCATGGTGGAAGGAGGAAACCAGTTGGGAGAGGACTCCTTGATAGGGTGAGTTTAGGGAATGAGTGACAGGCTGGTTAACCATTGCTCCCTCTTAGCAACTGTTGCTAAAGGGAGCAGATGCACCCTGGAGAGTATGAAATATGAAGCCATGCACCCAGGGCAAGAAATCCACCCAGTTTTCTCTTAAAGGGACTTTTCTTTAGTTCCCTTATTTAGATGTTTCAATCGTGACCGAGAAATAGGTTGAAGCTGAGGATCTAGAAAGTGAATCCAAATCTATAAATCCATCTATACATTTCTATGGGAGAATGAGGAAGAGAAAATGCGTCAGATGGTAAACGTTATGCATTCGTGTGGACTTCAGCGTAGTTAAGTATGCAAAGAGGTCAAGTTACTAAAATGTCCTCCCAACAAAAGCCTCACATTGTTTAAAGTGTGACGTATAGATGACCCATATCAAATGTACATATCAGCACAACATATTAATTGGGGATTTTTGAAGGTAGAATACTTTTAACATATACTGTAGATATATTAAACCTATAAGCCACTTGTTTGGAATACATATAATAAAGAGAATATAATGTATAATGATCAATTATTACTACTTCCCAGACAGTGAAAACTACATGTCGTAGTAAAAGAAACAAGACAAATCTTCTAAATACAAAAATAGTTCAGAGCAAGTCTTTTATATATATATATATATGTTTTTTCAAAAGTAAGAGAAAAGGGACATGTGACTGCACTGCCAGTAGTTTGAATAGTGGCTTGAATGAAGTTTGTGTCAATCTCATGCACCTGTAAGTACTTACAAAGGAGCCTGGATTAATACTTTATTTTATTCATATTAACGGCAAATAATATGACTCACAGCTGTAAGTCGACCCGGACATGGTTTAGTTGTGTAGCGCTACTATGGTGAGACATGGTGAGACATGGTGAGACATGGTGAGACATGGTGAGACTCGGGGTGTTTCTCAATCGCGAGTACGCTTGCTTGGTAGCACATGTCTGCCGAGCATCTTGCTTCAGAAGCGAGTCAAGAATACTTCCTGACATTTGGAAAACAAAGAGTGGAACAGGCTAGCAAGTGTGCAGGTGTGCGTCATATGAGAGGCCCCGCCTTACATCTTCCGCCACAGATTTGGGGAAATTGGTCCGTGCGCAAAGCATTGTGGGGATTTTAAGACCGCGGAGTCTACTCATGTGCAGCCTCGAAATTTCCCCAAACGGAGTACGCCGGGCTCGGTAGATTTCCAAGTATGCTGGAGATTGGAACAGTACTTCGGCGGCACTCGATGACGTAGTATGCTTGAAATAGTGGCTCTGAAGCAGCTTTACTCGCGATTGAGAAACGGCCACGGTGTCTAAACAGAAAGAATCAGGGTCATTTCTTTCTGTCATTCTTCTCTAGTGGACTGTCTATAAACGCTAAACAATCGTTTGATTGGCTAAAGTGAATGATTGCTCTCCTAACTGGATTAGCTGCTTTAGCCGTAACCGTCAAAAAGAACCAAATGCTCTGTGAAAATAATCATTGATTCTCATTCATTTATCATAAACTGATCACAGACCTGTATAGAACCGTCACTCACACAGCAGTGAGTCCACTATGATGCCATATTCTTTGTAATTCAAGGCTTAGGAATCTGATTCCTGCAATAACTGTGACCCGAAACCCCTGATACATGACCGTGTGAGACCTGTCAGTAGGCCACTCTGCGTCCTCAGGCTATAGGCAGATGGAAATGACATCATCACAATAACCTGGTTTAGTTTTCACGTATTGATTTGGAGCGGCGGAAGAGACCGGACAGATTTTCATCCTTCTGTGTTGTTATATTTATCAGCAAATGTGTCACATCCGCTCCGAACAACAGTGCTAAAATGCTAACGAGGCCTGAATATGACGCCGTTGTGACTCTAACACCCTGCTGTGTGTGTGTGCTGACGTGTGTGTTGACAGGAAGATGATGGAAGTGTGCGGCGAGGCGGAGAATCGCCTGGCGTCAGAGCTGATGCTCCACGAGCTGCAGATCGAGAAGGACGTCCTGGATCCTCTCAGCCAGCTCGCAGAGGTCAAATAAAAACTCCTTCTGCACATAACAGCCACTAAACACAAGTGAAATATGTAAAACTCTGTCATGGCTCTTGGTTTGTGTATTTAAGTGCAGTCACACCCTCACTATTTGTGTAATATTGAACATTTAAACATCATTTTTATTCATTTCCTCTTGGAGGACACTGCCCAGTCACACAGTCACATTGGCGTGTTGTGGTCAAAACGAAACTGATTCCAGATCTGTTAGATAAATTAAGGAACTTTACCCTTCGTCACTAATGATTGGGGGTTTTCCAAACATGAGTAACTGTTAGCTATCAGGCTTGTGTATCTTTGTTCCCGTAAACTTGCATTTTTGGTTGTTTCTTGTACAACTTCCCCAAACTCCCACCACATTCACACTGTGCGTGAGAAACTCAGCGTTGCATCTCCTTCCTGTTGTCCGTGCGAGATGGTTTTGATAAAGCAGGATTCATGTGTGCAGGAATTGACTACTGAGATTTGGACTGGAGGCATTTATTATAAATAAAGGGAATACAATAGAAGTAAATTCAATTATTTATCAATGAAAGGGTATACAAATAAAATAGTTTAAATATTTAATAAATATACAGAAATAAATTTTTAATTAATTAATGTTTTTATTTGTCTTAATATTTCATTTTCTTTCTTTTTTCCTTTCTCTTTATATTGCCAAATTATTAATTTACTTATTTATTGTTTTATTTATTTCACTATATAGTAGGAGTACATTTTCCAATAGTTTCAGTCAACCTTTTAGAAATAATTGTAGGTATGTCCAAATGAGAAGAGAAATCTTCGAACAGTCATCCTGGAAGAAGAATCAAAACAGATGTCTCTGCCATTAATGATCCTCAGGCTCATTCAACATGACGTTGTTTTGTATAATTGTATAGGTGGACATTCCCAACATCCTGAAGCAGAGGAAACAGCTGGCCAAACTGGTGCTGGACTACGATTCTGCCAGAGCACGGTTTGTCACGTTTTATGAAAATTTCGTTTTTTTAAAGTATGACAGTAAACAGCTTCAGGTAGTCTAACTCCATATCCCATGTTTCCTTGTTTTTCCAAGATGGTTGCAGGCAACCAAGTCAATAATCTCAGGAACAAACACTCACGCACTGACGGCCAAGGCTGACCTCCTCAAAGAGGAGATGGACGAGGCCATGAACAAAGTGGAGCTCTGCAAGGTAACCAGCATGTTATCACAATCACAAATACTGTATGTATCCCCGTGGGAAATGGATGTTGTGACGGTAGCTCTTTTTTAGAATAAAATTATAACATTTAAATATTTTTTTTATTAAGAGAAGGTAAATTGTACACACATTGTACTTCAATATATAAAAACAAGACATATACAAAAATAAGTAGATTTAGAAACTGGAAATTAGTCTGATCATTAGTTTGAACTGGGGAAAAAATATCCACAGCAACAATCTGGACTTCCCAAGACCCTCGGGACCTCTGACCCAGTTTGCTGACTCACACACTGAAAATGGTGTGTGTTGTGTGTGTGTGTGTGTGTGTGTGTGTGTGTGTGTGTGTGTGTGTGTGTGTGTGTGTGTGTGTGTGTGTGTGTGTGTGTGTGTGTGTGTGTGTGTGTGTGTGTGTGTGTGTGTGTGTGTGGGTGTGTGTGTGTGTGTGTGTGTGTGTGTGTGTGTGTGTGTGTGTGTGTGTGTGTGTGTGTGTGTGTGTGTGTGTGTGTGTGTGTGTGTGTGTGTGTGTGTGTGTGTGGTGTGTGTGTGTGTGTGTGTGTGTGTGTGGTGTGTGTGTGTGTGTGTGTGTGTGTGTGTGTGTGTGTGTGTGTGTGTGTGTGTGTGTGTGTGTGTGTGTGTGTGTGTGTGTGTGTGTGTGTGTGTGTGTGTGTGTGTGTGTGTGTGTGTGTGTGTGTGTGTGTGTGTGTGTGTGTGTGTGTGTGTGTGTGTGTGCGCTGCGCTGCGATGCGTCAGGTTTTCTATCCAGGAAGGTTGGAGCCGTGTGTTTCCCCTCCGTTCTCTCAGAGTCCTGCCCCAGCATTAGCCGGAGGGTTTATGAGTTATTTCGATAACTCATCACTCATTCACCAATGGGTAATGTTTAGATGGATTTTAACTTCCCCTCGATTCTATTGGCTAACCGTTAAAAAGAGATGTCAAGAGATCAGAGATATGGAAAATCCACCCAAATGACCCCAGAAAGTGGGTTTCTTTTTCTAAATCTCTCTAAAAAGGTCAAATGTCACTTGTTTTGCATTCAATCTTGATACAGGGTACTTATTATATGTTATAGTTTGGATTCCTAAAGCTTTTAGTCTACTACCCATCATTCAAGGGTGGTTTTCACTGTAAGTAATGTTGGTTTTTTTTGGACGGAAACTATAATTTACATTTTTTTACTATGTTCAATCTGAATTTACTTTAAAATAAAAACAATCTATATTGATTCTGACTTTTCTACATCCAACTCACAGGTTTATCATTGCTTTGAGAAAACAGATTATTAATGTACCCCTTTTAGAAGTGAAGATATAGTCATATAGCTCGGGGCTTAACAGGTTAACACATCTTGGTTTTTCGGGGGGCGTTGCGACCGGCATCTCCTGAGGTAATACAGTGAATATGGAAATATATTAGCTACAAACCAAAACATCTGAACTAGTCCCTATTCCCTTCCCCCCACTTTAGGGGCCCTACAGAGACTCCTTCTGGAGGGAACTTTGGGAATTTTAGAGTTGCAGACCATTTACATGCCAAAAAACCTATAAACACACTACAGGAAAGGAAACCGCCTAAAGAGCAATCTTTCCCCACTTCGTTTTTGCTCCTTTCTGTCCTCTGGTTTTGCGCCTGGCCGACGCGCTCACACATCACACACACAGAGATATTGTTTGTTTCGGTACATTTATTTCCATGTTATCCTTTACATGTCTTTTCTTCACTGTTCTCTTCTTTTAACACAAATGAAAGTGTCTTACCAGACATTGATGGAGACGGTTACGTCAAAAACATAATAAGCCCTCTTTAATATTACATGAATCAGTGCTCTAACTTTTGTAATCTCTTGTTTTTTATCCACCAGGGACCAACTCGCTGCAGACATGTACAGTTTCTTCTCCAAAGAAGGGGACTATGCCCGCTACTTCTTCGTAACAGTGAGTACAGCATGTCATCAGCAAGCCACAAAAATGTGTGTGTGCATGAGTTTTGTTGTGAGAACACTCCAGCTGCAGAGTAACCGGGGAACACAGACTTGGCAATGCTTTTATTTACTTTCCTGTCTTTTACTGCTTCATCTTAATCGACCCCTAATCTTTTCTCTCTGTGGTTTGGTTTCTGTAGCTCTTAGAAGCTCAAGCTGATTACCACAGAAAGTCTCTCACTGTGCTGGAGAGCGTGCTGCCAACCATCCAGGATCAGCAAGGTGAGATACATGCAAACATGGCTTGATGCACTCCCAGCTATTTAACACAAACACTGCAGACAGAAAGACACTCATGCTCTGTGAGGCTCATTATATGGCACCTCTTACGTATTTCCTTAAGAATGCAACCTTCATCACCGAGGGGAACCGCCAATGTTTTTCTGTGGTTCCTGAGTTGTTTTGGTCTCTTGAAACACATTTTCCTGCGAAGGAGGTGTGAGACAAGTAGCTGCTAGGAGCTGCTATTCACTCCTCAAGCTACTGTACATTTCAATCACATCACTCTACTCTGTTTTCTCCCAGAAGCTTACCCAGTTGCGGTAACTGTCAAACTCTACAACTGAGGCCCAGATCTTAAAGAATAGCCTTTTGTTTTCAGCGCTCTGCCCTCCAAAAATAATCACATTTTCCATTTTTAAAACATCATCTCTCCTCTTAGATTTCCTAGAGTTTCTTGTGCCAATGTTACATGTGTCTCATTGAAGGGAGCTTGTTTTTTTTTCAGTGTTAAACACATGTGGTTTAAACCGGACGAGCCTGGTCTCCCAGCATGTGGCGATGACTCACGAACCACACACACACACACACACACACACACACACACACACACACACACACACACACACACACACACACACACACACACACACACACACACACACACACACCTCACTTCACACCCACCTGGGTTTTGCTAACAGCAACACACACCCCCCTCCCTGTTCACTAGCGTATTAGCTCACACACACACACACACACACACACACACCACACACACACACACACACACACACACACACACACACACACACACACACACATAAGATTGACAGTCACTCCTGTGGTTATTATTTGACGGCTCCCTGCTGGGGGGGAGGAGAGGACTGTTTACCAAAATCTGCAATTCAGATCAGCAAGAGGCCTGGAGCCGGGCCGAAATATAATTAGTCGCTTTGGATGAAAGCGTCTAACAAGTAACATCTAATGTAATGTAATGTAATACATATATTTATATTTCTTTAATGAATACCAGAGTAAAAGATGGATCTTATAAAATGACCAGGGACAGGTTGAATTACTTTAAAATTATTCGGTTACTAGATACCAGTGGCGAGCCGTGAGCTTTATACCTAGGCCCTCTGACCCCCACCAATTCCCTCGAAAAAAAGAAAAAAAAATAGTTATTACGTCACAGCGTATACTTCAGCGGAATATCAAAACAACGGCCCAGGGTGCAAAACGCATCAATGACAGCGACCCTCTACCACACAAAAACACACCTGTGAACCCAATTTGTGTTCTTGACATTGAAAATGATATTGCATTGTGTTTGTTACTTTCGTTGCAGTTGTATGTCTTAAGTGTAATTTGGCATGCTTTTATTTTGAAGGCGAGTTCACGCTGTTGACAGGAAGTTGTTGTTGCTAATGGAAACAAGAACAGTTTCACAGCGGGCGGAACTTGTCATAAAGTCCGCGATAATAAAACCCACCCATTTAGAGGGAAGATATGATTGGTCAATTGTACTGTCATTTGACATTACTCTCTCGTTCAGTTACTATAAGCGGGCCCTCTGTGAATCGCAGAGAGGGCCAGACGAGCTTTTTTCATGTAAACCCTTCACATTCAACAGAGACTGAACAGGCAGATTCGAAGGATTTATTTCTTTGGAAATGTTATTTTAAATACAATTAAATCAAGGTTTTTTTCGGTAAAACTAATGAAAAATATAAGAAAAATAATATTAACCCTTGTGCCCTCCTCGGGCATTTTTGTACATTTTTCCTGACTTTTTTTTTTGATTTGGTGTTCATTTCAGCTGTGTTACAGCTTTTGGCATGGATTTTTGCAAGAAGTCTTCTTTTGAGTCAAATTTTTGAAATCCAATGTCGTTTACTCTTACATGTTTGTATACTCCTCGTGATGCATTTTGCACCCTCTGGACCCCTTCGTGGCAAAAATGTACACGCTCATAGAAACTGCTATTAAATCATCATACATCAATATTTTATTAAACTTTTTTTCCATGAATCACTTGAACAACTTCTAACGTGCTCAAAACTACCAAAACATCCAATAGTTTTTCAGGATGTTAACCCTTTAAATGCCTGTTTCATTATTTGAATTATTTAATTTCTCTTAAAAAAAAACACAAAAATGAATTTCTTTCAATATAATAATTAGTAGAGGGATGGAACTTTGGTGGTTATTAGAGTCTGGGATGTGTCAAGATTAGCAACAAAATTGATTTGACTGCATTATTAATTTTTACGTAGTGTCAGATACTACCTTTGGACCCCTTCGTGGCAAAAATGTACACGCCATAATAACTGCTATTAAATCATCATACATAAATATATTTTTCTACTTTTTTTTCATGAATCACATATACAACTTCTAACTACTCCAAACTACCAACATTCAATCATTGGCAGGATTTTAACCCATTAAATGCCTGTTTCATTATTTTAATTATTTCATTTATCTCAAAAATGCCTCATTGACTTCCATTCAGACCACATTGGTGATCTCACTGCCATTGCAGTATAAAACCAGCATTTTGTAATGTCAGCATTTCATTAGAAGAAAGTAGTGATATTTGATATTTCTACTCTATTCCAACAGATTACACAAGTTTCTGTGTAGCGCCGATGCATTACATTCTTATATTTTTGCCAGTTATATTATGGAGCCGTGTGACTACCAGGGGGCCCCGAGAGTGGTGTGTGTGTGTGTGTGTGTATGTATGTATATGTGTGTGTGTGTGTGTGTGTGTGTGTGTGTGTGTATATGTGCGTGTGTGTATGTGTGTGTGTGTGTGTGTGTGTGTGTGTGTGTGTGTGTGTGTGTGTGTGTGTGTGTCATTTCCAGCAGCAGACTAGCAGGTCCTGCAGCATGTGACCTGGTGGCTCTCAGGTGAATAGAACAACCATTTTTTAGGCCTGTGCACAACCAGCACACACCTCTCCTCCCTCTCCGGTGTGTGTGTGTGTGTGTCTGTGAGAATCTGTAAGCATGCACAGATCATTTCATGGGAAAAAAAGGCCATCTTTTGAGGGATGTGTTTGATGTGTCTTTGAAGAGCTGCTTGATTACTCAAAAACAAAAAACAACTGTTAGTGTGTTTATGCACCTGGCTGCCAAAGATAAACATGCAGTTTGACCAAGGGCTTATTTCATTAGTGAGCAGAGAAGGAGAAAGACCTGGAGCAAAGAGAAGGAACTCAAATGAAGAAGCTTTTCAGTGCAGAAGAGACTTCAGAAATAATCTTGCAGCCTTCTTCTGCCAGCGAGCTGCAGGACTCATCTGAAGAAGACACAAGGTTCGAGGGGGGGTCTGACACTGAATGCTCTCTGGAGTCCAGCATTTCTTTGAGTTCCTCTGACCCTTCATCTGAAAGTGGAGAGGACACTGAGGGTCCGGCCCACCATCCACCACCACGGGGGGCTTTCTTCTCACAATCTGTGAGGACACCCTGGTTTTCCCCAGCTCCTGGGAGAACGACCTCCGTTCTTCTCTGTCCCCTCACTGTGGGCCGGACCCTCAGTGTCCTCTCCACTTTCAGATGAAGGGTCAGAGGAACTCAAAGAAATGCTGGACTCCAGAGAGCATTCAGTGTCAGACCCCCCCTCGAACCTTGTGTCTTCTTCAGATGAGTCCTGCAGCTCGCTGGCAGAAGAAGGCTGCAAGATTATTTCTGAAGCCTCTTCTGCACTGAAAAGCTTCTTCATTTGAGTTCCTTCTCTTTGCTCCAGGTCTTTCTCCTTCTCTGCTCACTAATGAAATAAGCCCTTGGTCAAACTGCATGTTTATCTTTGGCAGCCAGGTGCATAAACACACTAACAGTTGTTTTTTGTTTTTGAGTAATCAAGCAGCTCTTCAAAGACACATCAAACACATCCCTCAAAAGATGGCCTTTTGTTCCCATGAAATGATCTGTGCATGCTTACAGATTCTCACACACACACACACACACACACACACACACACACACACACACACACACACACACACACACACACACACACACACACACACACACACACACGGAGAGGGAGGAGAGGTGTGTGCTGGTTGTGCACAGGCCTAAAAAAATTGTGTTCTATCACCTGAGAGCACCAGGTCACATGCTGCAGGACCTGCTAGTCTGCTGCTGGAAATGACACACACACACGCACATATACACACACACGCACATATACACACACACGCACACGCACACGCATACATATACATACACACACACACACACACCACTCTCGGGGCCCCCTGGTAGTCACACGGCTCCATAATATAACTGGCAAAAATGTAAGAATTGAATGCATCGGCCTACAGTGGGAAAATGGTTTAATCTGTTGGAATAGAGTAGAAATATCAAATATCACTACTTTTCTTCTAAATGAAATGCTGACATTACAAAATGCATGGTTTTATACTGCAATGGCAGTGAGATCAACAAATGTGGTCTGAATGGAAGTCAATGTGGCATTTTTGAGAGAAATGAAATAATGAAAATAATGAAACAGGCGTTTAAAGGGTTAAAATCGAAACCGAAAATGGTAGTTTTGAGTACGTTAGAAGTTGTTTATGTGATTCATGAAAAAAAAGTTGAAAAATATATTGATGTATGATGATTTAATAGAAGTTATTATGGGCGTGTACATTTTTGCCACGAAGGTGTCCAGAGGTAGTATCTGATACTACGTAAAAAATAATAATGCAGTCAAATCAATTTTGTTGCTAATCTTTGACACATCCCAGACTCTAATAACCACCAAAGTTCCATCCCTCTACTAATTATTATATTGAAAAATAATTATGTTTTGTGTTTTTTCGTAAGAAAAAATGAAATAATTCAAATAATTAAACAGGCATTTAAAGGGTTAAAATCCTGCCAATGATTGAATGTTTGGTAGTTTTGAATACGTTAGAAGTTGTATATGTGATTCATGAAAAGAAAAGTAGAAAAATATATTGATGTATGATGATTTAATAGCAGTTATTATGGGCGTGTACATTTTTGCCACGAAGGTGTCCAGAGGTAGTATCTGATACTACGTAAAAAATAATAATGCAGTCAAATCAATTTTGTTGCTAATCTTTGACACATCCAAGACTCTAATAACCACCAAAGTTCCATCCCTCTACTAATTATTATATTGAAAAAAATTCATTTTTTGTGTTTTTTGTCATAAATAATGAAATAATTCAAATAATTAAACAGGCATTTAAAGGGTTAAAATCCAGAACATTATTGAATGTTTGGTAGTTTTGAGTACGTTATAAGTTGTTTAAGTGATTCATGAAAAAAAAAGTAGAAAGAAATGTTGATGTATGATGATTTAATAGCAGTTATTATGGGCGTGTACATTTTTGCCACGAAGGGGTCGAAAGGTTGAAAATTCGAGGAGGGCACAAGGGTTAAAAAAATATATATTTAAAAAAATATATATATTTTTTAAATGTTTTTAAATATTATTTTTTAGAATATCTTAGGCCCTCACAGAGGGCCTAGAGGGCCCTGACGGCTCGCCACTGCTAGATACACATTACATGGGAATTCTTCTCCGTTCCCAAAGTGCAAACTAATAACTGTCCCTGTTATAACCAAAACAAATATATAAAAGTGGTCTAATCTTCAAGATCCAACGTTGGAGATATTGCACCTTACACTAATAAATGGAGGTAGCTTAAAAAAATAAGATCTCCAAATGTATTGTGTATTCTTTCCAAACTCCTTAAAGGATTTTTAATGCAAGGAAATGCATGTTGTGTATCTACAGTTGCTTGCTTCAAATACACTAACAAACTACAGGTGTATTTCTTATCATGGAAAGTTTCATTGTTATAAAATTGCCATATTTTTAAGAAGTCATCAAAACATTTTCAAAATATAATCGAGTATATCATTATTTGTGTTTGTTACGTTACATGTATACGTTACTGCCCAACCCTGCACATATTCCACAACAGCATTAATCTTCTAACTATCACTGCGTCTTATTTCCCCATTCGTCCCTCTTTCTGCCTTCAGACTCGTGGACGGAGAAGCCAGCGTTCGGCACGATGCTGGACGAACACCTGAAGAGGAGCGGACGAGAGATCGCTCTGCCGCTGGAGGCCTGCGTCATGATGCTGCTGGAGACCGGCATGAAGGAGGAGGTGAGGGGGGGGAAGACCTGGAGAGATGGGTTTTTTTTTTTTGTATTGTTGACCCTGGTAGAATGGTCTCTTTAACTCCCTTTATTCAGGGTGTCCGCGGGGTCTTAAAAAGTATTAAAAGTTGATAAATCAATTTAGCGAACATTAAGGCTATTAAAAAGTATTAAACGGCATTTTCCAAGGTATTACATTGTAGCTTGTTGTCAATAAATATAAAATGATATAGTCAATGTGAGGTAAAGTGTGTCGCCAATGTAACCGGTTAAAACTCCAAGTGGCGATGAGGTCTTAAAATGTATGGAAAGGGTCTTAAAGAAGGTCTTAAAAGGTCTTACATTTGACTTCAGGATTCCTGCATATACCCTGTTATTGTACGTGAGGGTCTATGTATGTATGTATGCTTCCTGTGTTTAATAATGTCACAAATAAATCATATATAAAATAAAAAGACGTGGACATGCTTAAAATTAAATGATGTGTATAAATACATACATATCAACAGTAAAAAATATGTATATCTATAGAATATCTATAGGGTATAAAATATACAGGATAAGTTAAGAGCTGTCAACGTTAACTTGATAAAGCTCACTATCATTCCGGGAAAAATTAACGTATTAAGATATTATGCAAAGTAATCACATTACCACATTTGTCCCCAAACTTCCTCCCATAATTGTAGCGCAGATTTTTACCATGAATTACATCAACTTCTGATTAATCAGGATTAAAGGGGCCATATTTTGCACACAGAATCCAGGGATTTAAGCCATTGGAGACCATTTACATGCACTCAAACCTATATAACACTCTGAAGGAAAGGGAAAACCCCAAAATAAAAATCATAATAAGGCTTCTTTAAATAACAGCGAGGACACACATCTTAATGCTAGGCTATTCCCTGCACAGTATTTGATAATGTAGAATGAGTTTCTGTTTGCTTTAACTGACATGACTGCTCGTTTTGTGTTCCTCGCCTCACCATGAAAGTCAAAGAAGTGCTGGCGTAGGTCATTAAAAGTCACATGGAGCCGTGGCTGCCATTAGCGGCTCCGCTGGTCATTGACTTAATTGAAACCAAGCTTCCAACTTGTTTGTTCACATGCACATCTTAAGACTGGGAGATGGGCGGACAGACGAACTATAAACAAGGGAAACTCCAAAGAAAGTGTCACCAGAGACGATTTATGACAAGTTTGAGATGTCCCACCCTGATACAAATATAGAAAACAATAGAATCTACTTGTCTCCTGACCATAAATCCGACTCGTGTGTGTGTGTTTATGCAGAAAAGAGCCTGAGAGAGTGTAAGTGTTAACTACACGGCACATTATTTGTGGAGCCATTCATTCCTCTCTGTGTCATTATGGTGTGAAGACGGCTTTTGTTTGTGTCAGAGTAAAGAGTGGTGGGTGTGTGTTTGTTCGCCTGCTTTAAGGTTTCATTATGTGCAGCTGGCAGGGGACTTTATACAGAGTCTATGTGTAATTGCGTGTGAGGAAAGGGAGTGTGTAAGTTACAGTGAAAAGCACGGGGTCTCGTGTGCTCAGTGAATGCCGGCCTGTGTCAACTCTGTTGTTTGCTGGCAGTGTAACTGTGGTTTATTTATCTGTGTGTGTGTGTGTGTGTGTTTGTGTGTCAGGGTCTATTCAGAATCGCAGCCGGAGCGTCGAAGCTAAAGAAGCTAAAGGCAGCGCTGGACTGTTCCACTTCACAACTGGAGGAGTTCTACTCTGACCCCCATGCTGTCGCTGGTACGTCCCAAACTAGAGTCATTTGTTTATCAATTATTTTTCTTGGTTTGCTTGGACCAATTCTTTGACTCATTTAAATGTACAATTTTAATGAGATTGTTTTACTGACAGTAGAGCAGTTGAAATGTATTGACATGGTCTACAAGCCACTGTCTCAAACCTGCAAATTAAAATGTTTAAATGTTGTAGAAAATTATACGGTAGCTCTCTCCATTCCACGAAAACAGGTCGGTAGTAATCTTCCGACTTGTATGGAAGAAAATAATAATAATTTAGTCATATTTACAAAAAAAGGACTCTCAGGGCTTCCATAGATTTCAATAAAGAATTTAATCTATTTGATGTTTTATGAAATGGTTATAATTTCAGTTTGATATAATGAAATATTACCCCATTTTGTGTGGAAAAGTGGCTCAATAATTCTGTCTGTGTGGTTTCAGGAGCACTGAAGTCCTACCTGAGGGAACTCCCTGAGCCTCTGATGACGTTCCAGCTTTACGATGAATGGATACAGGCATGCAGGTAACAATAACACAGAAACACTGGGGATCAAATGAACCATTGTTGTATTTCTGTACAGCAATATGGATGCAATAGAATGATGGATCCAGCTTTCTCTAGACTCGACTTATAACAAGCTCTGCGTTCACATCTCTCTCTCTCTGCAGCGTGTCAGACCCGGACAAGAGGCTCCAGGCTCTCTGGGTTGTGTGTGATAATCTCCCAAAGAACAACAAAAACAACCTGAAGTGAGTACTTTCAAGCGTTGCCATTATGATCTTTGTCTCCTAGGTTTCATTTGTTGTAGTCCATGCACTGGTTTGAATGCATTTTCAACTTTTGCATGAAGAAAACCTGAAGCGAATTATGATCAAATCTTTAAAGCCAAAAGGTAAATGCTTGTTGAGGAGCAATAGTTGTTAGAAGCAAGAAAAGTTCAATGCAAGCAGATTGAGTGAATAAAAACACGCCATGTATGTGACTTTACCGTCCATGGAAATGACACAATGAGCAGCAGATTCAAATAGTTTCTGATGTAACCACACTCACAATAATACATGACACCCAGGTATTAAACAGATATTTTATATTAAAATAGTTTCTTTTCACCATTTGAGGTTCTTCTGAGCGATTTGACTTGTTGTCCACTCTTTTTCGGGATAATAAAAACCACTTTCTGCTTATCTTGCTGAAACAAATCCTAATAACTGCATATCATCAGTGGATTCAAACAAGCACTCAGTCACATTTTATTTTGCTTATATTCTGGCAATCCAGGTGATATTTGTGATCAATTTTAGAACCTGGTTATTGTTGAAACCTGTGTTGATTACCTCCGTGTTTCCCTTCAGGTATCTGGTGAAGTTTCTCGCCAAACTCGCTCAGGACAGCGATGTGAACAAAATGTCTCCGAGCAACCTCGCCATCGTCCTGGGACCCAATCTGATGTGGGCCAAAACTGAGGGGTGAGAGGGGGAACACTTCAGTTACTGTGAAAAACAAGGAACATGTATTCATCATCATCTCAAGAGGCCTGATTGTAGTACATGTTGGTGGAGAGGATGACCTGTTATTTAAAGGGGACCTATCATGCAAAATGCACTTGTGTACGTCTTTTATACATGAATATGTGTCCCCGGTGTTCCAGGGAACTCACCAAGTGTCAGAAAACACAACCCTCTCTATTTTCCTCCATACCCAAATCTCTAAAAAAGGGGCTGCAACGGATCTGATAAAAACTGATCCAGATTTGAACACTGTCCTGACGTCAGTAAAGTGGCGCTACGGCTATTGGGCCAACTCTCCACCTATCAGGGGAATGTGGGGTTGGGCCACGGCCGGCCATTGCCGCTCGAAAGCGCTGGAGACGCTGTAGTACATATGCCAGGCCTGTAAGTGGCGCTGTAGTCTGCCACAAAAGCAGCGAAGAAGACTTCCCGCCCATAGTTACCATGGTTACCCTTCTGTTTATTCTCCGCTGTGGCTTTTTTTCTCCCTCCCCGAGGCAAGCGTTTGCTCCTGCTGCTTTAATTCAATGCAATCCCTCCCCGTCGAGGCAAGCACTGTAATTCTCTCCGGTTAGTCCACCAGCAGATGACAAACACCCACCTCTCCGCCTCTTCCAAGGAACGAGGGGACCGTGCGGCAGAGTTTCAGTTTCAGTTTCTTTCGCCGGTCAAGATGTCCGTTAAAGTTTAAATCTTCCGGACAAAATTTGAAAAGTGCCGGTCAAAGGTCTTCTTTGTTATTTATTGAGCTTTAAAACAAATGAATAACGACTCTATATAATAAAACACGGAGGACGGAGATCTCTTTTTCTCCCCCTCTTCTGACAGCCCAGCAGCTGATCAGAGCACGTCTCCCCTCTCCTGCAGGGGGGCGTGGTCAGCAGAATCAGACCCGTAGAGATGCGAAATGAGGCATGGCTAAAATGCATGATCTGTTCGGTATTTTGAAAACAGAAACGTATAAATATACCTTATATAGGTATGGCCCTACACTATATCATTTAAATATAGCATGATGGGTCCACTTTAAATCAAAGTTAACTTTATTGTCAACCTTTCAGTTTGTGTGTACAGACAGAGAGATCGAAATACCGTTTCCCATAATCCCGAAAAATACAAAATACAAATATATATAAAAATATGTATAATCAACAGACACATTTATACATATGCACACATTAAAGACATAAATAAAAGCATGACTATCAATATATACAAAATAACAGTCACTTCAAAATCTGTGAAAAATGTGTGTGTGTGTGTGTGTGTGCGCACGCAGGAGTCTGGCTGAGATGGCTGCAGCGACCTCTGTGCACGTGGTGGCCATCATCGAGCCGATCATCCAGCACGCTGACTGGTTCTTCCCTGAGGGTAGGTCCTGTTTTATCTTTGTAGGTAATCACAGCCTATTTTACACCAGAGAGTCACAATGTTTATTTAGGATCCCCATTAGCTTTTGCTCTTGACAATGCGCTACTCTTCCTGGGGTCCGACACTTAAAACAATACAACAATAATACAACAACATTCAAGACATAGCCTTACACATCTTCCGGCGCAGACTGAAAACTCATCTCTTTCGACTCCACTTCGAGCGATAGAATTACTAACAAAGCACTTGTATACTAACAAAGCACTTATATACTAACAAAGGACTGGCTTATCTAAAGCCAGTTGAGTAGCACTTGAAATGTTTTAGCTCATTGGTCGAATGCACTTATTGTAAGTCGCTTTGGATAAAAGCGTCAGCTAAATGAAATGTAATGTCATGTAATAAGTCCTGACATCATTAACAACAATCTCCACCATCATCAACAATGTCATCCACTTTCAACATCAAACTCAGCCAAAGATGAGTGCACAAGACACCCACCAGTACAAAGCAGGAAATACAATTCAATTAGGGTTCACAGTTTACAAGGGGTACATGCTCATTAGTAGATGGCACTTCAATCTCTTCTTGAAAGAGGCTCTGGACTCTATGTCAGCAAAGTAGTTTGGCAATGAGTTCCATTATAGCTCGATAAGTCACAGAAGAGTTCAGAAGATGTGTCCTGGGTTTAGGTGCCTGTAGATGGCCTGATGTAGCTTGTCTAGTCTTAGGGTCATGCTTGTCTTTTGTGTAAACTATTTGATCATAAAGATACTGTGGTGTTTTGCTAAATTGGACATTTCTGAGAAATGAACACAATTAATATTCACTGCCTGGTGAGAAAGGAAATCAAGCAGAAATCAAACTCCAGTAGGCTGGGCAAGACACTTCACCCCAAATTGCTCCTGTGGGGATTGTCCACAGTATTGAGTATGTAAGTCGCTTTGGATAAAAGCGTCTAACAAGTGACATGTAATGTACATGCAGAGGGTGTTTGATACCTACACCTTAATTAAAGCAGATCATGAGCATCTGTCAAAAATCCTGACCTCACTTCCTGTCCAGTTTTCATGTCGTTTTAACTTGCTGTCTCCTCTGTTTTCCTACAGATGTGGAGTTCAATGTGTCCGGCATGTTTGCGATGCCCACGCCTGCATCCAACCACAACAACCACCTGGACTATGACTGTAGCACCATCGAGAGGAAGAGGCCGGGCAGCATGGTGGGACCAGAGAACGACTCGGCACGCAAAGAAAAGTAATCCATCTGGAGTTCTCTTACCTTGAAACCTTCTCGTTTCCAAAGCCTACAACATTAATCTATTCCTCCGATGAATTGCTTTAGAAATGTTGCCATTAATCCAGGGGCTTTTTCTGATCCCTCTCTTTTGCTTCCTGTAGATTTTGGGGTAGACTTAATTGAATCCTTTTAATCCTTAACACTGTTTTTAAAATCTCTGGGGTTTTGGTGATTCTCTCCTCTTTTTGATCAAAGCTTTGGTGTTTTTTGTTTCTCCCTCACTGTCTCCCCCCCCCTCGTGTAGCACTCCTAACAAGTACTCGGACCACACCCTGCGTAGAGGCAGTAACACCTTAGGTAGAAAGCAGCACACCTCACCTGCCTTCCAGCCCCCTTTACCCCCTGTGGAGGCCCCCCCCTCAGCCGAGCCCTCGCCCCCGGCTCCATCAGGGGGTCCGGGGCCCGACACCCAGCAGAGCCTCGCTCAGAGCCTCGCTGCCCTCGCCGCCGCGCAGCAGCTCCTAGCGCAGCACACGGAGGAGCTCAGGTAACACCGAAACACTGTGGAGAACGCATGCTGTTATTACTTTACTCCGGCCGGACATTAGCAATGTTTGCTAAAGCTGCCCCATTTACTGTTTACTGTGACAGTTGCTCAATGGGGACTGTCCACGACACTATAAACAAATCAACTCAACTTCAGTCAGTGGTGGAAGAAGAGCTCAGTTGTTCAACTTAAAGAGACCCCATTCTGCTTTACTTCTGTAACATATTGACATCACTTTGAAACACTCGCGCTTCTACTGGCTAGCGCTCCAACACATTGTACGTGATAGGCTAAGGGGCGGGACATCTCTAAGCGGTTGACCAATCACAACAGAGCCGGCCAGCTAACCAAGCAGAGCAGACTGGGCTCTGGTTTCAGACAGAGGGTGAACAGAGGTGCTGCAGCACAGGTAGTATGAGAAAAATAAAGAGCTTTTTGAACTTTAAAGCATGGAGACATGTCACAGTAGAGCAGGGGTGTCAAACTCGAGGCCCGGGGGCCAAATCCGGCCCGCGACTTCATTTTATGTGGCCCCGCAAGAGCTTGCAAAGAATATAATACGTTTATTATACGGTGACATGCCACTTTACAGAAGCAGGTTGCCCATAAACTACATGTCCCACAATGCATCTCGTTTTGTGACATGCGCACTGAAGAGACGTATTTGCCCTGGACTTCTGCTTTCAGACGTAGTTGGTAGTTAATTACTAAGTTATTATCCTATCCGATAATAATCCAATTCAGAGGCAATAGTGTAATATAATACATTATTTTATATATATATTATATATTTATATATATATATTTATATAGTTACAACCGGCCCTTTGAGTGCAACCATAATGCTAATGTGGCCCGCGATGACATTTAGTTTGACACCCCTGCAGTAGAGGCACTAAATACACATTTTAACCTGAAAATGACCATAAAAAGCTTTTAAAATTAGCTCCAAATGAGTGACTCTCACTGAGAGTATGTGTACAATTAATATCTCTTATTTCTACTTAAGTAACAGACCTGAGTACTTCTTCCACCTCTGATTATGAATGCATGTTTCACTGGTACATTACAGACATGTCCTCCTCTCTGGGTCACTTTGGTTCAGCTTGTTGTTTCTCGTGCAAAGATCTTCACACTCCTCCAGCAGCTTCAGATATGCAGAAGTGTCTGAGTCCATCCCACAGACACAACAATGGCCGCTGTCATTCTGCTAACGGTCACTCCCAGGGCCTCTCCACTTCCCATCCCTCTGCTTTCCCCCCAACTCACTGGAATCAGCAGGAACCTCACACTGACCGGCCCAAACTGCTTTGAAAAGCCTCGCATTTTACTGAAGGGTGTCTTTGATTTAGCTGCTGAAAGGACAAGCTTCATATCCAGACACTTAGCGCCATTCAGCATTCTCCTGGTCCTTAGACTCTGATAGACTTAGATGACACACCCAGATTAGAGCTGGGATGTTTGCCTTAATAAAGCGTTCCAGAGATATTTTTGAAGGCCGACCCGGATGTTAGCATCGCAAAGCCTCCCTCATCCGCAATTTGCTTTTTCCATTATCACATTTTTTATAGTTGCCGGTTTTGTTCAGCAGGATGTTCTCCACATATTAACACCACGTTATGATTTTTGATACGCAGAGTAAAAAGGTAACGTTAGACTATAAACAATCTACATGGGGTCGCACTTGCTAAGCTAATGGCGGCTAATGTTTGTCGTGATGACATTTGAGTTTTTAAGACACATGGAAGCTTTGGACATTCAAAAATGTGTTATTTACTGACTGATGGTATACTCTTTTCAGCTCGTGTTAACCACAGATCTTATTTCAGGCGTCTAACCAAAAACATGTTCAAAAAAAAAACGTTGACTTTGAGACGAGGGAAACAAAATGCTAACTGATTTCCGCTAACTCCATAGCTCTAACCCTCAGTGGGTGCTGTAGTATAGCCCCTACCCAGAATGTCAGACCGCTTTCTAGTTTAAAATACTTTTTATTATTTCTTTTATAGCATTTCAAAGCTGCGTGACCACACCCCGGGCCCGACCCCCCCGCTCCAGAGGAACGGCTCTGGAGCCGGGCAGCTGGGCACTGGGACCCCCGGGGCTGGACCCCTGGGGCCCAGTCCACATCTGATGCGCAGAGGTAAGAGTCTGTGTGATTATCTGCTTCAAATTGGTATATTTCTATTAAGAACGTCACACATCCAGGTTACAAGACGTTTGAAGCAACTGGAACTGAACTTAAGAGATTTGATCTTTTTAAATGTATAACTACTGCTGTTGATGTATTGTGATTTTAAAAAGGTGTCTATTATCATCTGGCCGGGGACAACAGCTGGAAATTAGCAATGTTGGCTAAAGCTGCCCCATTTACTGTTTTTTGTGACAGTTGATTAATGGGGACTGTCCACGACACTATTTTGATTGATTATGCAGCCCTACTATTAATATAAACCTTGATAATGCTAAGCTAACTGGCTAGCGGTCTGTAGCTTCATATTCACTGTTTAAACATGCATGGGGGGGGGGGGGGGGGGGCTGCAGAATATGAGTGTATCTTTCCACCAATAATGACGATCTCCACCTTCACCTCTCAGGTACCAAGAAGCAGGCTCCGCCCCCCCCCAAGCCGCCGAACCCCCCCCCCCTGTCAGCCCTGTAACATGACCAACCACGCCCCCCCCTCCTCCCACTGCCTCAGCCTCTCCCCCAGACCCGTGTCCTGCCTCTCCCCCTCCTCCCCCACCTCCCCCTCCTCACAGCCCTGTGCCACGCCCCGACGCCACTCCAGCAACCAGCCTCCCATCCAGGCGCCCAGCCACCCTCCCCCCGAGCCCCCGTCACCCGCCAGTCCTCAAACGCATCACGGGGGGCGGGGAGACCCTCAGAGCACGGAGCCCTCGCCCCCAGGCAGCCCCACCCCTCCAGACACCCCTCCACCCTCCACCACTGCTGCTGCCCAGGAAGTAGCTCCTCCGTCCCCGTCTCCCTTCCAGTCGGGGTCCCTCCCCCGGCCCAGACCCGTCCCCAAACCCAGGAACCGGCCCAGCATCCCCCCCCCTCCACAGCCTCCCCCCACCCTGACCGGAGACACCAACGGGATCTGTGCCACCGCCTACAAGATGATGGGTGAGTGTGTCTCGTGTGTGGAAACGTTTATAATGATAGTGAGGTGCAGGGATGAGTTTTTGTTGTAGTCTGAAACTGAGTTAGCGTCCCTCCGGGTCCATGGAGAACAAGCCAGCGGGAGTTGGTCATTGGCTTTAGGAATATTGCAGAAAGTAAGCTATGTTTATGATGCTATATGACACTTATGACACCACTTTTATGATAGTTGAACCATAAATGCAATTGCCAAAATGCAAAAGCTAACGTTAAGCTATGAAGGAACTACATCATGTCAATCAATCAATCAATCAATGTTTATTTATATAGCCCAATATCTCAAATGTTACCTTTGTCTCAGTGGACTTCACAGTTTGTACAGAATATCAGTATGACAATACGACACCCTCTGTCCTTAGACCCTCACATCGTACAAGGAAACACTTCCAGAGAGAAACCTCACAGTTTAAAGGGAAACATGGGAGAAACCTCAGGGAGAGCAACAGAGGAGGGATCCCTCTCCCAGGACGGACAGACGTGCAATAGATGCCGTGTGTAAATCAAAGAGATAATACATTTACAACATAGGTAGACCGAATGTTTGGAAATGCATGTGTCTATAATAAGAAGATGAATCCACGAGGATGTCAACAATCCTGTGGGAGCCATCAGGGAAGTAGTATGATGAGAGTCAGGCGGGACCATAGCAACAGGATCAGCCACGACTCAGGATCCCGGCGTAGATAGACACCAAAAAGACATTTGGGGGAAGCTGGGTTATTCGGAACATGAGATTACACAGGTACAGACAGACAGAAGGAAGAAGTAAGGTGTCCCCCGACAGTCTGACCCCTAGTTTCCACCGGGTCCGTCTGCGTCGCGTTACGGCTGCGTCGCGGTTTTGGTCCGACCTCCTCTAGTGTCATAACCCACCGGGCGCGTTTCAGAAGCGGAGCGTCGTGCGTGCAGGCTCGCAGTTTTTGTTGATTTGGGCATATTTCCTGGACAGGCTACTTTGTACAGACAAAGTTAATAATAACTGTAATATTCCAGTTATAAACGACATGAATCAAAGATGTGTTGCTGTATTTTAGTGGTAAAAAAATGCATTCATCATCATAATTATTCTATATATATAATGTACACAGTGCCTGTAAACCGGAGGAGAACGCTGGCATTTCTCCTCCTACTTGAAAGACTACGGAGGGATAGGGTCTGCAAAATTAGTTTAGGGGTAAGCCTACAGTATAGCAGCAAAACTAGGAGCTGAATCTAATCAGCCCTAACTATAAGCTTTATCAAAAAGTGATCTTAACGCTAGCTTTATCCTTTTGGCCTTTGCATTTACGCTTCAACTATCATAAAAGTGGTGTCATAAGTGTCATAGAGCATCATGTACATGTGTTTTCCGTGCTGTAGTTCCTTTACATGACTTCACGTCACCACCGCTAAGCTAAAGGCGGCTAACTTTTAGTGTGATGACCTCAAGTAGTCTCATTTATACACGTGTTTACATCCAACTCTTATTAGACACTTAAAGGCTTCAGAGATGCACAAGTGGGGGATTTACTGACATATTTTCTGTCTGAGAACAAAACCTTAAAAACTCTTGAGCTTGTTTTAAGCACACACCTTATTTCATGCATCGAACAAAGAACATGCTAAAATAGAAATTGACTTTGAGAAGAGGGAACCGAGGTAAAATGCTGACTCATCTCCAGGTTTTAGGACTCATTCCCGCACCACTCTCCTGTCTGCTGAGTAATACTAATGTGCTCTCTTTTCTAATAGTGTTGCATTGTAATACCTCCACAGGTTAAAGAGGCACCTGTTGAGGTTTGTTGTTAATTGAACTTTTCACCAATAGCACCATCACTTTTTGTTTGCCCCTAAAATCACACCCATCATCTTCATTTTGTGCAGCTGCTGCTTCATCCAGATATATCATGAACCTACGTGAAGCCCTGATGCTCGACTGTCACAGTGTATGAATATGTAGGAAGGGACCTACTGTCAACAGATTGTCCAAATAAGGTCATTAAGTCCCAAAAGCAAATATATGGGTGATTGTTGTCTCCCACCGTGGGTTCATCTATTACAGAAGTTCATATTAAATGCGAAAAAGCAACACCTCAGTTAATAATAAAATGCAACTTTATGCACCATGACATGTCTTCCATCAGGGCTAGCCTTCATCATCAGTCACTCGTCATCATTCACAGTCACTACATGTTCATCCGTGACACAGTGGGGGTTTGAAACCGCATTGAATACAAGTTTCACTTTCACAACTGAATTTACAAACTCTGAACTGTCAGCAGGTATCTCCTGATTTTTCATCAGAGGTGTTGTGACAATTATATATATATTTATTTTTAAACCAGTGTCCTTGTATCGCGCATGTTTAACTCTTAACATGCATGTTCTTGTCTTGTCTTGCTGAAGATAATGCACACATTCAGAAAGTATAACCAGCTTTTATCTAACATAACACATTCAAAACTTTAGCATTTTTCTCAAACTAAGTATTAAAATGTCACCTGTGGACTTGAGCACACCTTGTTCTCTACTTCTGATCACACAGCTAATGAATTCCAACCTGTTTTCTTTACATTTCCCATTTAATATCCACTCTGCACAGCTGTTGCCCTGCTTCTCTCAGTGTGTGGCCCCACAGCGCCCCCTGCTGCTCACTGTACGACTGCCTGCTGCTCTCTAAGCTTTGACCCAGCTGCAGTGAGAGGCATTAACGCTCTAAGTGTTTTCCAGCTGCAGAGAAGGAGCTGCACATGTTAGTGATTACGCTCATTGTTCCTGTGATGCAGAGGACCTTTATCTTCTGAGGACGTTTCTGCTGTGTTCTGTGTGAATGCCTGCATGCATCACAAACATATTACTTACTAACACAAACGGTTACTAAAATAAGCATTTTCTTTTTGACTAGTCTTGTTTAGTGCAGCTCAACTTCTGCATCACTTGTTAAATGTTGGACTTTTTGGCTTTTTTTGTGCATAAAGCATACATTTTGGTTCAAGTTACGGTGTTATTATTTTTCAATTTGGAAGTTCAAACTCATGAAAACCACAACATTTGATCAATTATACATTAAGGTATAAAATCATATATCTCAGTTGCTATTTTCCACCAGTTTGTGCTACCTAGTTTTATTGGTCTTATTGGGCAAATTCATCCAATTTTCCTGGTTTCCTGTTAAGTTAAGTCGCTGAATGAAATAAAATTGTTTTCATTTAAATTAACAATAAATTATTTATTTAGATATAAATAATGTAATCTAGAAAATAAGTACACATTAAATATTGATAATGGGGACTGAATTTGGAAAGGAGATTTAATTTAGTGGAAAATAATATAAATAAATAATTGTTTGTCCTCTGGGGATGTTGGAGTAACTTTTTTAAGTTCACAAGGATAACAAAAAAAAGTTTGATGTTATTGTTTTTTTTATTTACTTTCTTATTTTTGACTTATCCCCCCCCCCCCCCTCAGACCCGGCGATGTCTTTCCGAGGCCTGAGTCGAGTGTTGGTCCCTGAGATCGCTGTAGAGCAGCCGCCCCCCCCCCTGCCTGCCAACCAGAGACTGTGAGCTGGACACTGAGAGCACCGTCCTGTAAAGAGGAGAACACACACACACACACACACACACACACACACACACACACACACACACACACACACACACACACACACACCTCCCTCTCATTTAATCTGCTCGTCCCATATCTGGAACCCCAGGACTTTAATGTGACGCAACACTTCTGGAAACCATGACAGAGGTCTGGCTCTCGGTAAATAACGGCTATAAAACCAGTTTCACCAAACTGAAATGGGAATCCAATTTATTTGAAGAACTAAACTTGATTTTCTTGTCACAAGCATATTTCATTTTTATTGTAGCAAATCTAGGGGCTCAGGGCTGCAACTATCTTTTATCTTTGATTAGTCTGCTGGTTATTTTCCCAATGTATAGATTATTCTTTTGGTCTGAAAATAGTTTAAATGTCTTGTTTTGACAGTCCAGAATCCACAGATTAAGTCAAATCCATATTTAAGAGGCTAAAAAGAACATTTTCTGCATGTAAAATGACTATTTATGTTGTATTTTCTGACATTGTCATAGTTGGATCTGAAAGACATTCAATAGATATTTACTTTAACAATTTAATAATCCATAAATCATTTTTAAAGCTAAAAATACCAAAAAACAAGCTACTAGAATATGTAAACTAAGGTTTTTGGGAGCGCATTTCAACTTTTTGGGGACATCTTATTGACCAAATAATTAATTAAGAGACTAACCAGCAGATTCAAAAATAGTTGCAGCCCTTATCATGGGGGATATCATCGTATTAGACCACTCTTTATGACCTCCAGCCACACCACCACCACCACCACCTTCTTCTTCTCTGTTTTTAAATACTTAATTTGGAGTCACAGAATATTTAAATTACATTTTGCTCAGTTGAGTTCAATCTAAGATCTATCTAGTGATCAAAAAACAACAAAACTCCAAAACCAAACCCCTTCTTCTTCAGGTGTCCCAGAGTTGCCGTCACTCGCCGTTATTTACCCAGAGTCCTCGTGACCTCCATCATGGTAGCAGCCGGTGGGGAGCGTTGTGTCACTGAAGCCCCCCCGCTGCCCACGCCCGGCTGTCTCTACTCCGCAGACAATCACCCAGCAGAGGACAAAAAAAGGACTTCTGACTCACCGCTAACACGTCAGAAAACGAGTAAAGAGCGTGGGTACCGACCGCGGGGGGAACGCCAACACATGGACTCGTTTTGGACCTTGGTGTGAGGTTGTGTATGTTTTTTTTATGTTGAAAAAAGGCCTTAGATCAATAAATGAATTAAAGAAGAGGTATTTCTACAGCACAGGGGGATATCAACTAAAACAAAAGGTCAGCAGGTGACGGAGAAACCAAAAACTGTTAAGGTGTGACTGCGGGTTTCCAGTCGTCTCAAACACTTGATTTTTGTATGGCATCCCCTCACTCCTGTATTTATTTACCGATTTAACACGCATTCCCTGTGGCTTGACGTAATTAATGCAGTCTTTAAATGTAAATCATGCCTTAAGGGTTCCTCCCAGAACCAACATATATATATATATACATATATATTTACTGTATCGGCTCCTAGTACTACAGTATTTTCCAAGAAGCTGTCTTGGCATCAGTTTGTTTCAGGGACGTGAGGAAGGTGACCCTCTGCAATAGAAGTCTTGTATTGTTATTTAAATGTGTTTTTTGGTTGATTTCTTTGGGTTTTTATAAGGAGAAGTAGCAACCACCGGCCCAGCCTGAACAGTCAGTATTTGTTTTTGCCTTTTTCTGTTTATTTTCCATCGATCCGTGTGTGTTTTGAGCAGGCTGTGTGTGAGTGAATGTAGTGAAAGGTGTTTCCAGCCTGAACAGAAAGACGCACAAACAGCTGATGTTGCACCCGAGCGCAGGCAAGTGGTTTATGAGTGAAGAACTGGTTTAGAGAGGTTTTTTTTCTGTCTTTCCCACTGAGCTGAGAGCACGCAGCGCTGTGATCTCTCAGTAGTGAAGTGGTGTCAGATTTCGCCAGGTCAAAAAAAAATGCTTTATGAAAAAAAACGTATCTCTGTGTAAGCTTTTGCTCTTCGGCCTCAGATGTTCTGACCCAATACGGTACCAATGAAGAACGTCTTGGATGCTGCACCTTCCCTGAAAATGTTGGTTTTTTTCAGAGAAACTCGAGCGTTATAATCCCCCCCCCCCCCTTTCTTCTCTCTGCTGCCTTATCCTGAAGACGAACAAACGCCATTAAACTAAAAAGTGATAATGCTGCATTTTAAAGCGCCATTGTTTTGTATGTATGCCATCTGGTGAGCTGAAATATGGAATAAAAACATGTAATATGAACGCTCCCCATCAAGGGGTTCAAGAGTTTGTTTTTTACATGTGGGGGGGGGGGCACAATATTACAATATACATACATTTTACAAATATCAAAAAACCTTTTAAGGAGTTGAAGTATAATTATACTGTGGGTGTTTCTCAATGTCGAGGACGCTTCCTTGGTAGGACATGACTTCCGAGTCAGGTCCTTCAGAAGCGAGGCAAGAATCCTTCCTAGCCTCGGAAAATGAAGAATGGTGGAACAGGTGCCTCAAATGCGAGGCCCAGCCTTAAATGGAGCGCGATTTCCGCCAAAGATTTGGGAAATTGGTCCGTGCGCAAAGCATTGTGGGGATTTTAAGACCGCGGAGGATACACATGTGCAGCCTCGAAATTTCCCGCAACGAAGGACGCCGGCCTCGCTAGAATTCCAAGGATCCTGGACATTGGAACAGTCCTTCGGCGGGACTCGATGACGTAGCATCCTTGAAATAGTGGCTCTGGAGCAGCCTTCCTCGACATTGAGATACACCCTGTGACTTTATTCTGACACGTAATACGTTAATATAATATGTTGTTTTTTCGGACACTTTTGAAATACTATGCTCTTTAATTTTTCCCGATGTTTTTAATATACTATACCATGGTTTTTCGATTACATTTTACATTTTTCGACGTCATTTTTTTTCTGATATGTTCGACTATACTATAACTTTATTTCTCTGTTTTGGTATTTTTCAGAATTTTTGGAAATACTTCAATTTTTCCAGATTTTATTTATTCTGAATTATGAAACCATGTTGTTTTCTCTGATAATTTCCACATACTATACCATTTCCCCCGACATACTATACTATGTTGTTTATATTTTACATTTTTCAACATACTATACTATGCCTTTATTTTCTGATATTTTTTCCCTATATTTTATACATATTCACTACACTATGCCTTTATTTCGAAACACTAAACTATTTAGTTTTTTTTCTAGATTTGACACACATTTTTTATCTTATACTTTATTATTATTATATATCCATAATAATAATATAATAATAATAATAATAATAATATACTATGACTTAAAGGTCACCTATCATGCTATTTTTAGGCAATAGCATAGGTCTCAGATATATACAAATATATAAAAAACATGTCTATGAAGTGTTTTGCTCAAAATACCAAACAGATCACCCATTCTAGCCATGCCTCATATCCCTCTGTTTCACTTCCTGTTTCAAAAGTGCTGATTTTATGTATAAAGTTTAAAAAAATGAAAAAATGTATACAAAATCAAAAAGGAGGGGGCTGAGCTCATGCGGGACCCGGCAGCTACTGTCTAAACTAAATACTGCCGTGATGAAACGCCATATCATGGATTATCAAGGATTATTTCTGAAACAGTATGGAGCTCAAAGGCTTTCTCTCTTGCCGGTTATACCACAAGGTGAGTTCCTTTTCATTTCCTGCTTCTTCACACACATGCTCTCCAGTACAGGTTAGCTCTGAGTGTTAGCGATGCTAATGTAAACACCGACCATATTACATCCAAAACAGTCGGGCATTGTTTCTGATAGCAACGTTTCTGATAGTGCCGTGGGTCCACATTTCAGATATTACGTCATATCGGACGCAAATCTGGATCAGCTCCGTTGTAGCCCCGTTTTTAGAGATTTGGGTACGGAGGAAAAGAGAGAGGGTTTTATTTTCTGACGCTGCGTGAGTTCCCTGACACACCGGGGACACATGTTTATGTATAAAAGACATCAAAAAGTGCATTTTGCATGATAGGGCCCCTTTCACATACCTAAATATTTCAAATCTATATGGTTAATATTATTTGTATACAAAAACTACTCAGTCGAAACTAGAGCAACTTTCCATGGAATCAAATCGAAGGATAATAAAAGGCAGCCTGTAGACAAACTGTATTTATTTTAAACTTAAATATCCAGGGGGGGGGGGGATGCTACCAGCCGCACATCTTCACACAACGACTGCACCAACATGCGATCCATTTGGACAAAAAACACTGAGACTGCAGCAGCAGCTGGGGTCGCATTTTACAAGATCAGTCAGCTTGTCTACGACGGCATATTGGGACCACAGAGGTTCAAAAGTAAATAATAACAGAGCCAGAGGGGAGTCATATTTAGAGTTAAAGCATAGGATTATAAATTGAAAATATTCTTGGAATAAGTTAATATTATTAATACATTCATGAGGAAAAAACTAGAATATTGTGATTTTTTTAATTAAAATGTGAGCCTTTGATTTTGGGGTATTTCAGATTTCTTTGCCAATTTATGACTTTTTATTTACAGATTAATAATATGAAAAATGTAATTATAAAAGATGATATAATTACTCTTTCCTACTAGTTTGATCTCAAATAATGTACATGTTTTTTCACGTAAATGTACCTCTTTACTCACAAAATATATCCATGTTTTTTCACGTAAAAGAACCATTTAATCTCTTAAAATACACTTTTTTATGTATTTACAACTTTAGTCTTTGGATATTTCTTTCAGATATTACTCACCTCTCCTGGCTCTGTAATTAATTTATTTTAAAACTACAAATGTCCCTAAGACGCCGTTGTATGAGCCTGACTAAAGCAGCGCATAAAGAATAAATAACAAGAATGTCCTGATGACACACACTAGGTTTTTTAAAACACACATACGGTAAAAAATTAAATGAGCAGTGCATAGCAAAAACTGTAAATGTACAATCTCAACAATATTTCATCGACATAAATACAACACACTGTACTGTAGAGGAGTCACCATGACGACCAGGAAGCAGGAAGGAACCATTTACAGGAGGACGTTTAGATTTTCCTCCACATGCGTTTGACATTCATTCATCAGTTTACCGCACTGAAGAGTCTCTGCCTGAAGCACTCAGCTCTCTCATTTAAACCCAGAGACCCACGCTTTGTCAAACAGAGGATTTGTGAGCCAGGCTTCTCCACATGCTGATGTGTTCAGCATCGCCTCTCTGTGAAAGGTGGTCTGAGGATGTTTCAGGAATAAATATATGTTATTTCATTCAACTTGAAGTCCTTCGCAAGCAGAAAAATCGCAATGCTAATGAGTAGCTGTGTTTTTAAAGGGGCCCTTTAATGTATTTTGGGGTTTTCTCTTTCCTGTAGTGTGTTATAAAGGTTTTGGTGCATGTAAATGGTCTGCAAAGGCAAAAATCCCAAAGTTCCCCACAGAGAGAGTTCCAAAATGTCATCTGTTTTCTATTTTATTCAACTAAGGCCCTTAACAAAAACATATGTTGTTATTAATGGGAAAAAGTCAATTTAAAAAACGTACCCGGTCGTGTTATCGGATTAATCTAGAGTCCTTGCAGGCAATCAATCACAATGCCTATGAGTTGCTGCGGTTTTAACACGTTTTTTGGGGTATTTTCCCTTTTCTGTAGCGTGTTAATACTGTAGGTTTTGGTGCATGTAAATGGTCTGCAAAGGCTAAAATCTCAAAGTTACCTCCAGGGGGGGTTTGAACAATTTCATTTGTTTTCTGTTTCATCCAACTAATGCCCTTAACGAAAAGTTGTTAGAATTAATGTGAAAACCTGAAAAAAGTAGGATGTTTATATTAAAAAACCTTCGGGCGTTGTTTTGCTTCCATAGAGATTATTAACTGAACCAGTGGGTGTGGATGAATTTGACTTAATCTCCCTATATCTTTTTATTGTATTACAATGCCTATAATACAGTAGATGCCCTTTAAACTCACAGTATGATAGGATGATACGGTAACATATGTAACTCTAAATCAGTAATGTGGATACATAATGCTGGAATAAAACATTGATTTTTACCATTAGTAATGAACTCATGCTGTGTGTGAGGCAGTGAACGCACCGCTGTATGAACTCTCTGGCTCTGTACACGCTACCTAAACTACACCTGCTTCTAGATTCATCCGTCTACATCTACGCTTACTCTTTACAATTTTCAAATATGATCTGATAGAAAATATAAACTTTTATATAGTCAGGTATTAAACATCGCTAGTAACCTAAATATCCAGTTCTTTCATCGAGTTGCACCGGAGCTAATAGAGGGTTTAATTATTTGACTACCTGCTTTAAAAAGATAAGTAAATAAAGTAAAGACTAGTGTGCCGTGACTTCCTGTTCACACCTGAAATAACAGTAATGATGCACACAGGGCGCTCATTATCTGTGATTTTCTACAGTTAGATTACACTGTATTTCCTTTCTGTTTGCTATAGATGACGCGCTCTCTGTTCCCGTCGCTATGAGTGTCTCTGTGTGTGATCTTGGCACTTTGGTTGTTGGAGAGCAGAGTGAAAATGAAGCCGACATCTGACCATAATCCTCTTTTTTCTTCTTTTCTTCTACCAGGCCAGAGGGGAGGACAGTCTGGGGCTTCTGGGGTTTTCTGGAGTCTTGGTCTCACTGAGAGCTCTCTGCAAAAAGAAAAAAAAAGAAAATCTCATGTGATTTATTTCACTTTTACCGTGTTATCAGACTTTGAGCAGATTTATTCCACAGACGGCAGCACTTTGCAAAGTAATGATTTGGTAGCTGCAGGCGGCTGTCAGCTGGATCCCTAATTGTTCTGGAGGTTTTGATTATGCATTTATCACAATATGAACGGCTCACCTGCAGGAATAAGCCACATTATTTCTAGCTGCTTCTATCGACACAGCTGAGGAAAACAGCAAGCAAAACTTAATGATATAGTGTAGTTTATTCCAGTTGGAAGCACAATGGGCTGCAGCAACCAACACTACATATAGATATTGTAAAGATACATAAGACACAAGTAAACAATCTTAAAACAGATTAAATTGTAATAATTAAAACCTGAGCACTGGAAAATAACAATAAGGAAAACAAGGTGTTTTCACTTGAAATAAGTACAACAATCTGCCAATAGATAGACCCTCCAGAAAAACGCGATTATGCGATCGCATAATTGACCGCATAATCAGCAAAATGGCGCAGATTTTTAAAAGGGCGCATATTTATTAAAAGGTCGCATAATCCCCGCATTTTTCCACACAAAGTTGAGGGAAAAAAAGTTAACGTGAAGTAGTGATGTCATCAGCTCGCGCAGGTAAACAACACCGTAGAGTGAATGTGTGGAACTCACACGAGAGAGAAAACAACAAGATCAGCGCCATATAGATTATTATATACTATTATACTATTATTATTATATACTATTATACGGCTCTGACCAAGATGAACAAATCGAATCCATCTCATTTGCCTACGAACATTTCTGCTAAAGACCGGGCAAAGCAGTACGCCGATGTCTTGCACGAAAGTGGGGGGAAACTATTCTGCACCCCGTGCAACTGTGTGTTGGAGCATAAGAGAAAATCGACGGTGACGACCCACTTTGATTCATTCAAACATTCTAAAATGCTTTCTGCTGCTGCGGACAAGAAAGTCAAACAACTCACGTTCACCGAGGCATCAACCTCCAAAACCCTTTCGAGGGCTACAAGAAACGAGGTGAGTAGCCTACAAGATTGAAGCTGGTCAGATAACGAACGAGTAAATGAAAACAGAATGAGGCGGAGAAGAGTGTGTGTGTGTGTGTGTGTGTGTGTGAGAGAGAGTGATTAAAATAGCCCATATATAAATACATAAATAACACTTTGTGATGTAGCTTGCTTCTAGTATGCTTGTTTATCATAGGAACTCTTTAAAAGGGCTCACTTTCATTCAGTAGTAGCCTAGTAACAGGGTGTGGGAGAAGAATCACCTTTTTTCCGCCTCCCGCATATTTCGCAACTTTTCGCATATTTAGCATATTTCCGCATATTTCGCAACTTCACCGCATAAAATCACATGAAAACCCCGCATGTTTAATCGCATAATCAAGGATTTTAGCCCGCATAATCAAGGATTTTAGCCCGCGTTTTTCTGGAGGGTCTAAATAGAGAAAGTAGAGCTTGGTAAGATTTCTTGAAATAACATGGGATATTTAGATAAATCTGATCTTGTAATTAGCTGGGAGAACTCATTTTGAACTATGTTTGACCAGAATCAGGAGATGTTGTTACAATATACTGTACAGTAAGCCGCAAATTCTCATAAGTGTTCTGTTTTCTGATGTTAGTTGGTGATTTTTTTATAATTATGTAAAAAAAACATGTGTTTTCATCTGAGATACAACTCAAAATAAGATTTTTTGACTTAACAAGATGATGCATTGTCTAACAAAAAGACCCGATATCTCACTGCAGTGTTACTTCTGACGTTATTATGTCTTATATCAGGTGTAAAGACATATTCTGACTAGATACTAGACAAATATACTTGGCAAGATTTTGAGTTTTTGTGGTGAGCTTACCTCAAACTTGCCGATGAACTCTGCGAAGATGGCGAAGAAGGACTCGGTGTTGGCGGACTTGCTGTCCTCTCCGAAGAACGAGGCCACTTTGGAGAACTCCTCCATGGCTCGGGTCTGCAGAGACTCCAGAGACTGGATCGCAGGGTGGCTGTTCTCCAGGAAGCTCTGTGGGAACAACAAGGTCACACATTCAAGATTCATGACACTCATTATTACACATCAAAGTCAGCTAACTTGTCGTGAGGAATTGTCAGCCAGTAAAACTTTAAAATGTCCTCTTGCGGCTCTGAATGACCTTTCCAAAGTTTGAGAAACAACACTGATTTCTTCTCAGCTTTGCAGTCCAAAACAATTACAACAGACAGCCTGCGTTACCATCTGATTTGTTAGAGATTTAATAAAAGATGGGGCCAGCTAGCTTAGCATAAAGACAAGACAGGTTATATCTTGTTTGATTTATTTGTGAAAATAAAATGATAAATTATATTTTGGTTAGGGGTTTGTGTAACAGGCAAAAGTTGTAATTGAACACAAATTAAACAAACAAGATAATAAGTGTGCTAATAGTTAGTCCGGACAAAGCCAGGCTAGCTATTTAGCCAAGTTTCCAGTCCTAATGCTAAGCTAAGCTAAACTGTTACAGGATCCAGCTTCATGTTATCTATATAGACAAAGGGGGGATTGATATTTTCCTCTTATTGGCAAATAAGTACATTTCCCAAAATATCCAAATGATCCTTTAATTACATAAACTGTCAGTAATCAGTAGCTTCCGTGAACACATATATTTGTAATGCTTAGATGTCTGATGTGTGTGTATTATATATTTAAAGTTTTTGGCGTACACTCATGACGGAGGCGAAGTGGTCCTCGGAGGTGGGCGGGATCTTCAGACACGCCTTCCTGATGTCCAGGATGGTGGAGTGAAGGTCAGTCAGCTCTGCAGTGATGGCCCTCTGGTTCACTGAAGGCATATTCAAATATATGGAGGTTAGTTACAAAAAAACTTTAAAGGGGCCCTGTTATTCTTTTTTGAGTTTTCCCTCTCATGTAGCGCTTTGTTTAGGTTTTTGTGAGTGTAAATCAATTCAATTGGACTCCTTTGTTTACTTCCAAACTGTAGTGACATCACTATGTAACACTTGCGCTTCTATTGGCTAGCGCTTCAACACATTGTACGTGATAGGCTAAGGGGCGGGACATCACTTAGAGGTTGACCAATCACAACAGAGCCAGCCAGCTAACCAATCAGAGCAGACTGGGCTCTGGTTTCAGACAGAGGGTGAAAAGAGGTGCTGCAGCACAGGCAGTATGAGAAAAATAAAGAGCTTTTTGAACATTAAAGCATGGAGACATGTCACAGTAGAGACACTACAAACTGATATGAACCTGAACATTTGCATTATATGTCCTCTTTAAGCAACTGTACATTGTTCAAATATTGTAAAGAGAATCAATCAACTTGCATTAGATGCTTATTAAGTGTTTCATATTCGCAAAATGACTGCATTCTGCTACTAAGTGATACTCGGCTGAAACATCATCGTACCCTTGGCGGCCAGAGGCACCGTTGTGAGGTCTCTGGAAAAGTTGAGCAGCTCGGGGAAGTGTTGGCACAGAGACTTGGCCAGAATGTGGAGGAAGGTGGATTTCCCGTCTACTGTTTTGGTTGTGCTAAGCTGAAATAAATGAGGAAAGAATGAATGCTAAAAGCTAAAAGTGAAGGTAAGTCTATTGTGGTTTTAGCGTAGGAGTTTCCCCCTACCTCAGTGAGGAAGTTGATCTTAAAGCTGGTCGTCCGGTGGCTCTTGGGCTGCCCATTGTTCAGGTAATTCCCCATTGCAAGTACAAACTGTGGAAAGAAGAAACACTTAATGATTGCTTTTGAGGTAAATAATAAGCTAAACTTTCCTCTCCTTTCTCTGGGTGTTTACCTCCAGGATTTTGGCGAGCTTCTTGCTGCTCTTCAGCTCCACTGAAGCCTTGTATATGTAATCGTACGCGACCTTCATCTCCTCCGTCCTCTCCTGCAGGGTGGTCTTGAAGTGGAGGCTCCGCAGACGGGTTTTATACTCGGGAACCATCAGCATCTGAAGAACAAATTTGACTTAGTTCATTTCATCTTTCTTTTTCTAACTTTAGTTGAGTGTTTTTCATGCAAAAACTGAGAAAAAATACGAAAAAGTTTGATCTAAAATACGTTCTCTTCTGTGTTCACGACTTAAGGACATGAATATCTTTCTTGGTTTCTTAAAAATAAAAAATAAAAATATGTTAAGAGTAAAAAATAGGTGTTGCTAGGTGAAAAAAAAGTTTGTCAGGTTCACAGGACCTTTTCTTGCAATTCTACAGTCAATTTGTGAGAAAAAAAGTTGAAAACTTCGGACAAATTGCAACAGAAAATCTGACAAAATGTCAAGAAGTCTCCATTATAACAGAAGTGCCTCCATTGGACTCCTTTGTTCAAGTCATAATGGCTAGCGCTCCAACACATTGTACATGATAGGCTAAGGGGCGGGACTTCTCTAAGTGGTTGACCAATCACAACAGAGCCGGCCAGCTAACCAATCAGAGCAGACTGGGCTCTGGTTTCAGACAGAGGGTGAAAAGAGGTGATGCAGCACAGGCAGTATGAGAAAAATAAAGAGATTTTTGAACATTAAAGCATGGAGACATGTCCCAGTAGAGACACTACATACTGATATACACCTGAACATCAGCAGGAGAGGACTCTTTAAAGTAGAGACACTACATACTGATATACACCTGAACATCAGCAGGAGAGAACTCTTTAAAGTAGAGACACTACATACTGATATACACCTGAACATCAGCAGGAGAGGACTCTTTAAAGTAGAGACACTACATACTGATATACACCTGAACATCAGCAGGAGAGGACTCTTTAAAGTAGAGACACTACATGAAGTAGTCTTGAAACACTTGACAAGAAGTAAAGAGCAGGTGAGCTTCCTAATAGCAGTATAGTAGTTGTTCTGTCACTTTCTTCCATTTGCACATATAATGTGATGCTGAGAATAGCAAGAACACTTTACAGTAATTGCTTGCATGACGTCAATGCTTTTGTGACGTTTCTGTTGCTAGGTGCTCACTGCTGCATACACATGTATACAACTCTTTATTTGGTTTTAAAGAGGCCCTATTATTCTTTTTGGGGTTCTCTTTCAACACTTGCACTTCTATTGGCCAGCGCTTCAACACATTGTACGTGATAGGCTAAGGGACGGGACATCTCTAAGCGGTTGACCAATCACAACAGGTTTCAGACAGAGGCAGCACAGGCAGTATGAGGAAAATAAAGGGCTTTTTGAACATTAAAGCATGGAGACATGTCCCAGGAGAGACACTACATACTGATATACACCTGAACATCAGCAGGAGAGGACTCTTTAAAGTAGAGACACTACATACTGATATACACCTGAACATCAGCAGGAGAGGACTCTTTAAAGTAGAGACACTACATACTGATATACACCTGAACATCAGCAGGAGAGGACTCTTTAAAGTAGAGACACTACATACTGATATACACCTGAACATCAGCAGGAGAGGACTCTTTAAAGTAGAGACACTACATACTGATATACACCTGAACATCAGCAGGAGAGGACTCTTTAAAGTAGAGACACTACATACTGATATGAACCTGAAGACGAGCAGAATAGGGCCCCTTTAAAATGTGTTTATTTAGGCATTGTTAATCTCTGCAAACATAAGAGATCCTTGAGCAAGGCTCCTTAGGCTCCATTTACACGGAGACGAAACGGAGAACGAACCGAATTCGATATCAAAAAAGTCTTCCGTCCACACGGTATCGGCTCAAAAAACATTCACACGAGACCGCTCGACCCGCTGGAGACGCTGTAGTACATATGCCGGGCCTGTAAGTGGCGCTGTACTTCCGCCACAAAATACACCAAAAGCAGCGAAGAAGACCCCCCGAGCATGGTTGCCATGGTTGCCTGGTTGCCCTTCTGTTTATTCTCCGTGGTGGATTTAGCAACATGTAGTTCATGTAGTTCTCCATGTCCACTTGTTGTTGATGGTTGTGGTAGAGGAGCTGTAGATTTTGCACTAGCAGTAGCTACTGACCATGCTACAGCAGTGAGCAGCAGAGGTGGGGAGAGGTAGGGCTCTGGCTGTTTTGGCGGCCTCTGTTTCTCTTTTTCTCCCTCCCCGAGGCGAGCGTGTGCTCCTGCTGTAAAAGGCAGGTGCACCACACCCACTGCCACTAACTCTGAGCCTGGCTCCCGAGCAGGACGTTCTCCCCGGTAGTCCACCAGCAGATGAAAAACACCCACCTCTCCGCCTCTTCCAAGGGACGAGGGAACCGTGCGGGGGGGTATGCTGGAGGCTCCTGCTGGGTGCACTGTCCTGCGAGATACTGGGGACCTGGCTCGAAACACTCGGAACACTATTGTTGTTGTTGGCGAAACACATCAGCAATGACGCGGGTGACGCGGGGGTGAGCAGGAGAGGTGGGGAGAGGCGGGGCTATTGCGTATAGGGCGTACACACGGAGCCGTTTGGCCCCCCAGAGCGTTCCGTCCGCAGATCTACCCACCTTGGGACCCGTTATCGTTTGAGGGCTCCGTTTCCGTGGTTCCGTTACGGCCTCGTGTGAACGAACCGTCCATACGATAGAGAACTGTAGCGGATACAACCCGTTCCGTCTCCGTGTGAACGTGGCCTTAGGCTCTATCAGCGTCCATTACATATAAAAAGAGGTAATCAAACTCAAAACAAGGACCCTTTTCTGAGATGCTGTGAAGAAAAATGATCAGTAATCAAATGATATATCAAATTGTGACGGATGTGACTAAAGTGAAAAATAAAGAGCTTTTTGAACATTGAAGCATGGAGACATGTCACAGTAGAGGAACACAATATGAACCTGAAAATGAGCATTATAGCATCTAACCAGATAAAGTAAATGTAAGTTATTTTTTCTCAGGGTTTTCTTTAGTCTTGTGATTGTTAGTGTTATTTGTACCTGGAAGATGAACTGGTCTGGCTCGCTGAGTTTGGCGGGGTCCTGCTCGAACTGCTCGTACTGCTTGACCTCCTCTTCGTTGGGGGCGTACAGCAGCAGCTGCTTGATGTGAGCGGGCTCCAGACGCTCCGTGGTCATGTTCATCAGAACCTCACGCAGCTCAGAGGTGGAGAGCTTCAGGTGGGCGATGAGGATGGCTGCAGTGAGGAGGAGGATGAGGAGGAGGGAGAGAGGAGAGGAGGGAGAGGAGAGAGGAGAGGAAGATTTAGGTCTGTTTTTACACATCACAAAGATGAGCGCTGTGTTCCTGACTGAGACAGATCCTTTAATCCCACTCTGATGGTGTTTCATTTCTCTCTCTCTTATTCATTTGTGTACGGGTGTATGTAATGTCAGCAGGAACAACCTTGTTACTTTGGAAAGTGAATCCATTATTCATTGTATTAATGAATATATAACAGGGTCACATTTCATTTCATTTGTATTTGACTTTAACAATATATATTTTCCTTTTTAATAAACATGTTATTTGTAATCACTGAATTCAAAGTAATAAATAAGGTTGAAAAAAATCCTAAAATGTAATTATATCAGTATTTTAAAGTTACTTACTTAATTTTAATCTTACTTACAAACATTTTTTTTTCATTATTTTTCACATTTTATAAAACATGGGTCTAACCATAGACTGTATATATAAAGGGTTTTACATATAATGCCTTAAAGGTCACCTATTATGCAAAATCCTCTTCTTCATGTCTCTTCTACATCAACATGTGTCCCCTCTTCTTCATGTCTCTTCTACATCAACATGTGTCCCCTCTTCTTCATGTCTCTTCTACATCAACATGTGTCCCCTCTTGTTCATGTCTTTTCTACATCAACATGTGTCCCCTCTGTGAAAAGAGACTCTGAAAGTTTCAGGAAAAAAGATTCTCTCACTTTTTGTCCTGATCCATTTATATAAAAACCTGTCTGAAAATGAGCTGATCAGATTTTGACCACTTTGTGATGTCATAATGATGTTTTGGCTTGTGTAACCATTAGCCAATCAGCAACCAAGGTAACCCCCCCCCCCCACCTTATCACCTGAATCTCCTCCTAGAGCACCATTGTGTTCTTTGTAACCAAATCTCTCTCAGAGGGGCGTGGGGAGGGGCTCCTTATTTTCATCTAAAGTAACAGACAGAGAATCAGCACTTTTGAAACAGGGCTGAAACAGAGGGGATTATGGGATGCTGCAATGATCTGTTTGGTGTTTGGAGCCAAACACTTCAGAGACATGTTTTGTATATATCTGAGACCTATAACATATTGATGAACAACAGTATAATAGGGGACCTTTAAATGTGTTGCTCTGTCATCAAAACAGTGTCTACGTTGGTTATATCCTCAGAGAGTATGAGACATGACTCCAGTTTTCATACCGATACATTCATGTATAGTTCACAGCAATTTTTGAATGTCATGTTACTTATTATTTAATTTCTGTTAATATTGTGTATAATGTATAATCTTACCACCTTTAAAAAAATAAGGTTTCTTTAGGCTAACATGCTGTAATCCGTCTTAAATAACCCTGTTAATTCTCTCATAATTTGGTTATTTAAGCACAATTGTTTTGTTAATTGTGAATTGTTATCTGGTTTTAAAACAGTGCACTCATACTTAGAATGTTTCTTTTGGCTCTTATTTTGAAATATATATATTTCTTAATGAACCCTGATGAATCCATGAGAAGATTTTATGAGTGCTGGTCATGTGATTGCAGTCACTTGAAGTAGGTGTGATGGGGAGCCTCCCAGAATGCATTGGGGCCATAGATATGACAATCAGGGTTATTTGATCTATTCCCGTGTTGTTACTGAATGTTATTTTATTCCACATTGTGCTCCACAGTGTTTTAACACCTCTACCACAGTTTAACCCTTAAATATTACCTGTTGATACACAAAGGGATGTTGGTGCATGATGTTATGGAGCCTGATACAAGTATTTCATAAGGCTCTTGCTTTGGATCACCAAGTGAAGACACGTTTTTATCAAGAGAAATTAATTTATTCTCTAATAACAAATAGAAGAAGAAGAAGAAGAAGAAGAAGAAGAAGAAGAAGAAGAAGAAAGAGAAGAAGTCAGGGTATCACAGTTATCAATGTGGAATTAAAAAGATAGCAGCAAGAAAGACATTTTACAGTAGAACAAGAAACTACAAGATACAGCAGGTCAATAAGTTTCACAAACAAAATATATTTAAAAAAACAAACAGCTGAAGCATGATAATGTACTGCAGACTGTACATTTATACATTTTCAGATGCACATGGCACTCTTTCTTAGATGTATAATGAAAGAGAGTTGATATTAGGCGCTTTCACACCGGAGTACTTTTCCCAGGAATAGTTCCGATAGTTCCTGGGATTTTGCGTTCACACCAAAAAGATCTGGAACTAGAATTGCGAACCTTTTCACCCATTTTTAGTCCCTGCTAGAGAGGTGGTACTTTCCTGGGGAGAAAAAGTTTCTGATTGGCTGGGCGAATTGCAAACCACGCCCCGTAAAACTCCGAAAAATGTTGTGAAGCCGCCATTTTATTTGCTCGCATTAGCATTAGCATTAGCCCAGCGCACCAACGGAGAGAGACTAACTTATGGCAACACAAAATCAAACGTGATGAGGAGGTGTCGGCGCTTCTGGCGATTTACCCGGGACTTCGGGGGGTGATTTACTGCCACCCGAAGTCCCGGAGTCGGGGGGGCTCCGGGGACTTCGGGCGGTAGTATACGCCGTGAAGTTGTTTGCGGCCTGCCAGTAAACCCAAAGCAGAAGAAGAAGAAGTGACGTCAGCGGCTTCATTTGCATAATCCTCCCTCAGGGACTTATTCCGGTGTGAACGCGATCTACTAGATAGTTCAGGAATTAAAAAGTTCCGGGGAAAAGTACTTGGTGTGAAAGCGCCTTTTATTAGGATTTTAGATGAGAACATGCAGGTTATTGAGAAATAATTATGATCTGTTGCTGTAATATCACAATTGTTTTTCACAATAAGAGTTCTACGGAAGCCCTGAGAGGCAGGTGGGGGAAAAAAATGCCTTCTTGTATTTATTATATTTGTTTAATATATTGTATTAATAATTAACTTGTTTTGACAGATTAGGAAAGTATAACACAATGTTCTTATTAATGCTAAATTAAGCATTTTTTTTTTACTTGCCTCTCAGGGCTTCTTACCTTTAATTATACATGTTTAATTATACAGTAATATCATAAACAATACAAAACAAAGTAAGAAACTGTGAGCAGAAATACATTAAAACAAGTATTGAAAGACTGTCAAAAAGGCCAGCGGAGACAGAATATATGGCATTTAATTTGACATTAAAATGGGAATTTGTACTCCAACTGTGTGTGTAGTGAAGCTGATTCTTAAGAGATTTCAGTAAGGTTTAATATTCATAATATCTTTATAAATATAACCAAAATCATGCTCATTGGGAAGGTTAGCCATGCACCAACATCCCTCATAGTGTGACCACATTCTCAGGTAATATTCAACAGGTAACGGTGAGGAAAGTGGAACATTGTGCAGCACTGTATCACCAAAATAACCCCAGTAACAGTACAGGAAAACAGACCATAAGTCATCTTTTGCCCCAATGCATGCTGGGAGGCTTCCCAACACACCTACCTCATGTAACTGGAATCTCATGATCAGTAGTGATGGGAATTACGGCTCTTTGAAGGGAGCTGGATCTTATGGCTCCGTTCCTTTCCGAGAGCCGTTCAAAAGAGCCGTTTTTTTTTAAAGGGGGCGGGGTTAATAGGTTTATCTGCGAAATAATCACCAGGATAACGATTGACTGTATTGCCAGAAATCTACTTTTACTCACATAAAATGTATAACTTGCTACATCTCTCAGCCAGCCAAACTACTACTCAAGCAGCATGCGTTATACCATCATCTACGGAACATTTGCACTCAGGAAAGCAAGTTCCTTTAAAGGCGAGTGGATTTATGGCAGGCAGTGAACCAACGATAAAAAGAACGGCTCCCACCAAGTACGACTCGGTTCCCTTCGTTCGTACCAAAGAGCCGTTCAAAAGAATCGGATCGTTCGCGAACGTCACATCACTAATGATCAGTAGTCAGCAAATTTAAAAATAAGAGCGCCTTTTCAAGATAATTTCAATTAGGATTAACAAATCAATCGAGCCAAAATAGCTTGATGAGGATTATTTTAAAGATACATTTTTTTATTTACATTTGAAGAACAGGGGTCTACAAAATAATGCAATAAAAAATGCTTCAGTCAAGAAAACAAATGGGTAAACAACCTTCTTTTTTCAGCACAGTGCATTGAGTGAAATTATAGTTAAACACGTGAAATAATTAACAAAATGTGTCTGTTGTTTGCATCAGTTACGTTCTTTACATCAGGTCATAGACTTCATCCACATCATGCCTACGTTTCTGTACAGCCTTCAGTACAAAAGCTGTGTGTGACAAATCCAGTCTGATGATTGCATAGTGTGTGTAAACCCCCGTTGAGAAAGGGAAGCCATTATTGGGTTTGGATTGGCCTTGAGTCTCTTTGTATAGAGAGACCGTGAGCAGAAGTGACACACAGAGAGTTCAGGGTCTGAGTTTGTGTTCAATGTTTTGTAAACTGTGTTTCTTTGAGATTGGTGGTGTGAAAATAAATGACCTGGTTTATGAGAATCAGCGAGGACTAAATAAATAGATTATATAACCTTGGGACCAGTGTCAGGATTAAAAGATGTTTTGAAGAGGTGCATCAGGTCAATGGAGGAAAACTGGTCAGCAGGTAATACACTGACTTATAAATAATAAAATATATATAATAAAAAATAAATAATTAAATCATAAGAAGTAAGAATGTGCAAATAAAATATAATAAGATATTATTATTGCAGTATTATTATTATTTTTATGATTATTATTATTATTATTATTATTACTACAGCATTAATATAATTTTTATTGTTATAATTATAATATTATTTTTATTACATAATTATTATTAAGATTAAATAAATAAAAAAGATATGTATAGATAATAAGATTTTATTATTATTACAGTTTTATTAATTATACATTCATATGTATTCCACCACGTCTTTATATTTAATTTTACTATAACTTTTTATTGCACATTCTTACTTCTTATGTTCATATAAATATATTTGTTTAATTTAATTCTCAAATGCAACAACCGTCACAAAACTCACTTTTCCCCCAAATAAATAAATAATTTCTGATTCCTTTAGTGGACAAGAACCTCACACTTCAAACGACTATCCCTGGTTAAACCTGTCTCCTCGTAAGCCTTCGTTAAACGCTGCAGTTTGTGTTATTTCCCCGTTGTGTCAGAGACCTGACGCCTGAGCCTGCAGGAGTGCCCTGCGGCGGCCATGTTTTTGTGGTACTTACAGGCGTTGTAGGCTTTCTTATGAGACAGAATCTCCACCACGTCTTTCTTTTTAAAGTTCTCCGGCAGGAAGGCTGGCTCTGGAGGAGACACTGATAATATTAACAACAGTGTAAGGATCCGTTCTCCAAGCACCGGGGGGGTCTCCACACACACTCACACACACTCACTCACACTCACACTCACACTCACACTCACACTCACACTCACACTCACACTCACACTCACACTCTCACTCTCACTCTCACTCTCACTCTCACTCACACACACACACACACACACACACACACACACACACACACACACACACACACACACACACACACACACACACACACGCAAACACACACACACACACACACACGCAAACACACAGGTGGCAGGGTGATGGGTTTATAACACAGCTCTGCCATTTCTGTACCGCTACAGGCCATATCGAATGGGAAAGTATAATAAATAACAGTAAATTGCGTGTTTTCTGTAGCAGAGCTGTGTTATTACTAAACCCTTTCTAAGTATGAGAGGAGGGGGGGGGGGTTATGGTGCCTTATGGAGAATGGATTTGAAGAACAGGTGAATGGAGTGGCTCCAAAACAGGTTATGAAGAGCATCACAACTGTGAAGGTACAAACAAAACAGGAGATGTCAACAGATAAATACATTACTTTAAATGTAATTTAAGAACCCTGATGATTATAATGATGGTATATTAATAATGTATGACATGAAGCATGATGGAAATATAGAAGCCCTGAGAGGCAAATAGAAAAGTCTGGTGATCCTTGTTGGAGCTCCTGCCCCCCCCCCTCCCTGTGAGCCCACTGTGCTCTGATTGGTCAGCTCGCCCACTCTGTTCTGATGAGTCCACCACCGTTACAGCGGAACATCAGTGATTATGTGTTACAATGGTGTTTGTTAGCAACCAGAAAATGACACCAGTAATGACAAACAGATGAGACTGCTGCGTGGGGTCTGGGTGCCGTGTTGGCGGGACGTTGCGGGGCTCGCTGCTCCGCCCTTTGAGGATCGAGGAGCGGACAGTGTGAGCTGGATTACTGGTGTCGTTTCCTGGTTGCTGCGTGGGGTCTGCGAGACAGTGAGACACCGCGGAACTCAGCCTGAGCACACACACACACACACAACCTGGCTGTGTGCGGAGATCCGCAGAGCCGCGGCTGAGAAAAGATAAGGCTGAGTGAGTGTGTGTGTGTGAGGAGCTCCGCGGATTGGTCCATTTGGACCTGGGTATCGTTACGTCACGATACTCAGGAAGAAAAAAATGGAAAAAGAGAAATGTCCAACGAGGCGTTCTGGGGCAGCATAGACAGGTCTTTTCTGTGTTAAGAGTTTTACTCGCTACAGGGTGTACTTTGAGGGTTTGTGACTTTGCAGACCGTTTACATGCAGAAAAAGCTACATAACACACAAGGGGACGGGTAATAACCAGAACAGCATGACATGGGACCTTTAAGTGTTTGTGATAGCCAAAGCAAAGACATACGATAAACGATATGATAACACTTTCTATCACAAAATATCCTTACTGATATACTAGGAGAGTACACAGAGAAATAAAATATAATGTGATAGACAATGCATGTATTTATATCTAAGTTAGAAGTTTTATCCTGGCCAGAAAAAACAACTGGTTTAAAATCACAAACACAGGAGAGAAAACTAATTAGATCACCTTGTTTTTTTGTCACTTGCCTCTCATGGCTTCTGTACAATAATGATGCAGTAGGAGAATGAATGACAACAAGCACACAAATACTTACTGGATTGGCGTTGAGTCCCAAAGTGCAGATCAAGATCCAAATACTTCACCATGTCAGTGAGCTTGTCGTAGTCCGAGTCCTCTCCGAGCTAAACACACACACACACAAACACACACAAACACACACGCTTTAACCTCCAGCCACAAAGTCAAGGCTTGATTTTGTATTCAAAGATATCTGATAGGGTTATAAAGCAGGACCAAAACGTCTGATAAAAGATCCACCATGTATTCTATTAACAAAAACAAAATGTGTCCTACATGCTGCTGTGACTCATCAGAGAAACAACAGACTGCATGAGTAGGACTTTCCAAATATGGAAAGAGAAATGTAGGAGTGAGAAACTTCTCAGCCAAGGTGGGAAGATTCACAAGTTATTGTTTACTGTATTCACTGTAATGTAAGATTTCTTCAGACATGATTTTTTAATTGAATCACGTCTCTTCTCAGACTGATGAAGGGGACTCACCTGACCCCATATGGTCCCCTCAGAGTTCTCCACCTGCTCCCAGCGCAGACGCTTCACACTCATGTGGTTTGTGTCCGAGGCGTGGCCCGGTTTGGGAAGAGGAGGCGGCTCACAGGGGGGAGGCAGAGGAGGAGGAGGGGGCGGTGGTGCCTAGGAGATTATAATAATGTATCAGTATATGGTCTTGGATAGCACAAATGCAGCAGCTAGCAGCAGATCAACTACATAAATAGCAGGAAGTGTAGGTGATGCTTTAAAGGTCCCCTATTATACTGTTTTTCAACAATATATTATAGGTCTCAGATATATACAGAACCTGTCTCTGATTGGCTGAAACACCAAACAGATCATTGCAGCATCCCATAATCCCCTCTGTTTCAGCCCTGTTTCCAAAGTGCTGGTTCTCTGTCTGTTACTTTAGATGAAAATAAGGAGCCCCTCCCCACGCCCCTCTGAGAGATATTTGGTTAGAAAGAACTCAATGGTGCTCTAGGAGGAGATTCAGGTGATAAGGTGGGGGGGGGGTTACCTTGGTTGCTGATTGGCTAATGGTTACACAAGACAAAACATCGTTATGACATCATAAAGTGGCCAAAATCTGATCAGCTCATTTTCAGACAGGTTTTTATAGAAATGGATCAGGACAAAAAGAGAGAGAATCTTTGTTCCTGAAACTTTCAGAGTCTCTTTACACAGAGGGGACACATGTTGATGTAGAAGAGACATGAAGAAGAGGGGGCACATGTTGATGTAGAAGAGACATGAAGAAGAGGGGACACATGTTGATGTAGAAGAGACATGAAGAAGAGGGGACACATGTTGATGTAGAAGAGACGTGAAGAAGAGGTGACACATGTTGATGTAGAAGAGACGTGAAGAAGAGGGGACACATGTTGATGTAGAAGAGACATGAAGAAGAGGGGACACATGTTGATGTAGAAGAGACATGAAGAAGAGGGGACACATGTTGATGTAGAAGAGACATGAAGAAGAGGGGACACATGTTGATGTAGAAGAGACATGAAGAAGAGGGGACACATGTTGATGTAGAAGAGACATGAAGAAGAGGGGACACATGTTGATGTAGAAGAGACATGAAGAAGAGGGGACACATGTTGATGTAGAAGAGACATGAAGAAGAGGGGACACATGTTGATGTAGAAGAGACATGAAGAAGAGGGGACACATGTTGATGTAGAAGAGACATGAAGAAGAGGGGACACATGTTGATGTAGAAGAGACATGAAGAAGAGGGGACACATGTTGATGTAGAAGAGACATGAAGAAGAGGGGACACATGTTGATGTAGAAGAGACATGAAGAAGAGGGGACACATGTTGATGTAGAAGAGACATGAAGAAGAGGGGACACATGTTGATGTAGAAGAGACATGAAGAAGAGGGGACACATGTTGATGAAGAAGAGACATGAAGAAGAGGGGACACATGTTTATGTAGAAGAGACATGAAGAAGAGGGGACACATGTTGATGTAGAAGAGACATGAAGAAGAGGGGACACATGTTGATGTAGAAGAGACATGAAGAAGAGGGGACACATGTTGATGAAGAAGAGACATGAAGAAGAGGGGACACATGTTGATGTAGAAGAGACATGAAGAAGAGGGGACACATGTTGATGTAGAAGAGACATGAAGAAGAGGGGACACATGTTGATGTAGAAGAGACGTGAAGAAGAGGGGACACATGTTGATGTAGAAGAGACATGAAGAAGAGGGGACACATGTTGATGTAGAAGAGACATGAAGAAGAGGGGACACATGTTGATGTAGAAGAGACATGAAGAAGTGGATTTTGCATGATAGGTGACCTTTTAAGTTACAGTGAACACAGGTATTAAAGGCGTTACAACTGTGTTACGAACTGTGCTCGCCTGATCGAAAAGGTTGACTGAAAGCAAGGTAAAGCTGTGAGAATATTCTAAATATAGCATACACTTAAACTGATACTGACGTTTTAAAGTGTGTCTTCATACAGTAGGTGACCACAGCAATACATTTCTATACAAATACTGATGTTTGCTTTAGTTGAATCTTGTTTAATGAAGTAGTCTTCAAACACTTAACAAGAAGTAAAGAGCAGGTGAGCTTCCTAATAGCAGTATAGTAGTTGTTCTGTCACTTTCTTCCATTTGCACATATAATGTGATGCTGAGAATAGCAAGAACACTTTACAGTAATTGCTTGCATGACGTCAATGCTTTTGTGACGTTTCTGTTGCTAGGTGCTCACTGCTGCATACACATGTATACAACTCTTTATTTGGTTTTAAAAGAGGCCCTATTATCCTTTTTGGGGTTCTCTTTCAACACTTGCACTTCTATTGGCCAGCGCTTCAACACATTGTACGTGATAGGCTAAGGGACGGGACATCTCTAAGCGGTTGACCAATCACAACAGGTTTCAGACAGAGGCAGCACAGGCAGTATGAGGAAAATAAAGGGCTTTTTGAACATTAAAGCATGGAGACATGTCCCAGGAGAGACACTACATACTGATATACACCTGAACATCAGCAGGAGAGGACTCTTTAAAGTAGAGACACTACATACTGATATACACCTGAACATCAGCAGGAGAGGACTCTTTAAAGTAGAGACACTACATACTGATATACACCTGAACATCAGCAGGAGAGGACTCTTTAAAGTAGAGACACTACATACTGATATACACCTGAACATCAGCAGGAGAGGACTCTTTAAAGTAGAGACACTACATACTGATATACACCTGAACATCAGCAGGAGAGGACTCTTTAAAGTAGAGACACTACATACTGATATACACCTGAACATCAGCAGGAGAGGACTCTTTAAAGTAGAGACACTACATACTGATATACACCTGAACATCAGCAGGAGAGGACTCTTTAAAGTAGAGACACTACATACTGATATACACCTGAACATCAGCAGGAGAGGACTCTTTAAAGTAGAGACACTACATACTGATATACACCTGAACATCAGCAGGAGAGGACTCTTTAAAGTAGAGACACTACATACTGATATACACCTGAACATCAGCAGGAGAGGACTCTTTAAAGTAGAGACACTACATACTGATATGAACCTGAGAATGAGCAGAATATGTGAATGCAGACGTCACCTGTTGCGACTGCTGCTCCTCCTGAGGGGTTTCATAGGTTTTGCTGTGAGTGGGGAGGGTGGAGTGGGAGGCTGGAGGTTTGGAGAGCAGCGAGGATCCGGGGGGGGGGGCCTTGGTTCTGGTTCTGACAGGAGGAACTGTGGTCGTGGAGGGAGGGGGGCAGCGGGCCCTGGTAGCTGTGCTGGTGGTGGAGCTGGTGGTGCCTCTGCAGGACGAGCTGGCTGGGTCTCAGCGGCTGGGGGGATGGCTGGGGGGAGGGAAGGGGGGAGGGCTGGAGGAGGGGCTGGGGTTGGCTGTGCTGCCGGGGGAGGTAGCAGGGGCGGGACTGCTGAGAGGGGCGCAGGGTGGTGTGAGCGTGGGAGAGGCGCGTGGACGTGGTGGTGGTCTGGAAGCGCTGGTGAGATTTCTCCCCTTCGTCTCGGTGGTGGAGAGGGGAGCGGCTGGAGAGGAGGGTCCTGGGAGGGGGAGGAGGGGGAGGGATGATGGGGTGGTGAGGCTGGAAGGGCATCCGGCTGCGGGGGACGTGTTCGGGGGAGAATCGGACTGGAGGAAGGGGGTCGGTGAATTGCACAGGGGGCGGGATGAGACCCTGGAAAGGTGGAGGAGGCGGGGGGCTCTGGGTGGGAGGAGGAGGGATGGGTTCTGACCCGGAGGAGTAGGATGGAGAGGAGGGGGAGGAGCTGCTGTGGTCCTCACTGCTGCCGCTGCTGAGCTGCCGGGGCATGAAGCCCACGTCCTGGTCCTCCTGGAAACTCATCTGGGGGGAGAGGAGCAGCGTCACACTGATGACCATAATGTCCATCTCCTCTAACACAAATAAAAGACTGAAATCTATGCATTATGATTTTTCTTTTTAGTTATACTTTTGCTTATCAGTTTTTTTTAATGGGACAGAAAGTACGGAAGCCCTGAGAGGCAACTGAGATTTTGTTTTTTTTCGGATACAAGTTGTTATCTCTGTGTTTATGATATAATAACCACAAAAGAAAAAAGCTTTTGACAGTCGTGAAAGTGTTTTTGTTACACTCATTTTCAAATAGTTCCTATAGGACTACATCATTCATGTTTTGATCAATATATATATTTTTTTGTGATTCCAAAATAAAAGTTGCCAAAATTAGTAATTTAACAGCCATTTTTTTTAATTATCCATCCTACAATAACCTGTCAAAACCCTTTTCTCTGGTCCACATACAATCAAACTAAATAGGGGGAATTTAAAATGATATTAGTCAACAATGAAAAACAAGTAATTGAGATCAGACTTATAAAATAGATCAACCAACGTTTCTTTTCTCAATTGCTTCTCAAGTATTCTGCAGCAAAGCCATACACAATTAAATGAAATATTTTGATCACATGCTCTTAAATATTATCAGACCGATCTATTAATAGAACTAAATAAATGTGAAGTTTACAGTAAATACTAAAAAGCATAAAATATGTGCAACCCTTTTTTCTTTATCGTCTATTCTGCATCCCACTGAATGATGTACGATAACACGTCCCTGAAAGAGACAAAAGCCTTAATGTTTGTTTGATGATTTAACGTCAGCCAGCATCTTATTATAACCTTAGATAAAATTAGACTCTACTGTATAAACTGAGTATTTACTTACAGACACCCCTCTTCTTCTGAAACCATGACAACCTCCTTCATATATCTGTTCATGTGACACAAGTGTTCATTGTAGCGTACATTAGAGTGGCTCTAATGTCAACATGCAGCACTACAACGTAATTCAAATGCATAAATATGCTCATTTCAGAAGCTATACAAGCAAATGCACAACAGTAACATTTCCGGTAAATGCTGCTATATGTAATATGTTATCATCGCTGAAGTATTACATGTAGCAGCATTGCTTTAGCACATAACAGGAGGAAAATCACACCCAAAGAAATGTCACAATTCCTGGCCATGAAGGGAGAATAGTAGTACTGGCATGAGAGAGAGACTGTTAGTCATTCTGTTCACAATCTCCACGATACTAAGGTTTACTTTGCTAGTTGCTAGAGATATTAATATCCACAATATTCCCAGCCTCCTGATACTTGACATGCAAGGTTTCAAGAAGTTAGGATTGATGAGATATGAACTTTATACCATACAATAAGAATGAAAAATTCATATATTACAGTATTTCCTATTTTATTTAAGCTTTGGTTAGTTTGGATTTACCAACCTGAAACAAAAACAAAACAAACAAACACATCAAGTCAGCAGTAGACCAGCAAATTGGGTATTATACTGTAGGTGCTTAAAATAATAGTTTTGTCGATAGTCTGGTGTAGAAAGCTGTCTGATGCAAAGTCAAATATGAACAAATTCTTAATTTACCTTACACTTAAAGTAGTACAGATTTTCTTTGAGGTGTTTACAATACGTTTGTCTCCTGCCCTGTTCAAAGCAATATATTACTTTGCTTAGTACTTCTGTCTGTTTCTCTCAAATGTGGCGTGTCGATCCTTTGTCTACAGTAAGTCATATTCTGACTTTGGATAAGTACCTCGTACAAACCCAAATTATCCCTTGAATAATTTCTATAACAAGTAACAATGTACTCTATAATCGGGAACGACTACTAATGAGGCAAAGGGTACATTTTCTGCTGTAAATTATTATTCATTTATTTAACACCTCCTACCTCCACTACACAGTGTCATCCATCAAATGAATACATTTCAGCTATGTACTTCATAAACCTGCCCTTAAAACACCTGAACAATCCTGTTAGTCTGTACAACACTCTCTTACATTTTGGCTACATGGTCTGTTTTGGTTATAGTTGTGGTTTAAATATGAATTGTACGCCTTCAAGTGAAGATCAACTATGTATGGCTTGTCAATTGATGTACAATAGTAGAGACTAAGCTGAACACTAGTAGCTTTGAACTGTTCAATCTAACCTATCAATTTACCAAATGTATTTTCTATGTGTCTTCAATAAAAATATAAATAAAGACACCTGAACAATCTCTTTACTATAAAAATCAAAGCATGTCGTCTATGTGTATTTATAACAACAGCTGATAATGCAGTATATCGTTCTTCCTCACCTCTTCGTAGTCGTTCTCCCCGTGTACGAAGTCGTCCACTAGAGTGACTCGGTGTCCCAGCTGCTCGCTCAGAGCGTCCAGGAACTTGTCGGTGTCCCGGCTGCGAGGCGGACGGGAGAACGTGAACAGTTTCTTGCGGCGGGTCAGCGTGTTCGGCCCTCCGTCCGAGTGAGGGGAGGCGGGGGGGCTCTCCAGACACACGTAGGGGTTGGAGTCCACGCTGCTCTGGTGGTGGATCTCATACACCGGAGTGGGGAGAGGCTCCTTCCAGGACAGGGAGAGGCCGGATTTACGGTTACCTGTAGTAATAATAATAATAATAATAACAATAAAGCTTTATTTATATAGCACTTTTCATACAACACATGCAGCTCAAAGTGCTTTACAAAATGATACATCACAAAAATAGTGCTATTGAAGAACATAAAAGAACATTTCAAGTGGGGGGTTGCTAATAAAAAGCTAATCTAAAAAGATGTGTCTTTAGCTGGAGTTTAAAAATGTCCACTGAGTTTGCCTCTCTGATATTTCCTGGTAGACGGGAATCAAAGATGGCATCAAGTCACTAGTGCTTTTGACGCTCAAGCGTTTCAACAAGAGTATAATTAAGTGAACAAATGATATATTGTGCTTCTTCATTCCCTCAAGAAAATGTACGTGTTATATTTTAGGCCATGTTGTCGCCTTGGGGACCCTTGATAGGGAACCATGGAAACACATGGATAAACTGCAGGCTGGTTTGCACATATAGGTGGAGATCACATTCAGTGGTTTTCTCTCATGCCATGTTCGCATCACATTGGGTAAAACCAACTCCGTTAAACATCCACAATCATGTTGTTAATGTTCAAATCATCCATAAACACAAGGCTGGGGATGAGAGGGTACATTTTTTAAAGGGACAGTTCAACAATAAATCCAAAATTACAATCTACAAAACAATCTTGTTGAATCAGAGACTGGGTCAGGATTTCTGAGAGGAGAAGTTGCTGTGGAATTTTTTCAATTATTTTGTAGCTAAGACATTTTCATGGCCGACATCTCCAACATAACTCACACTAAAACCATTCAGATTGATAAAAAGCACTACAGGGAAGAGGGAAAGTATTTCGTTTTTGAGTTTATTAACCATATGTGTGCCATTTTTAGTAGTTCAACAGATCTTATGCCATGTTTGACTTATGTTTTGACTACTGTCCATCAAATTAACATGTATCCCCCATTCAGCAGCTTGTTTTTTTATGGCAAACTTCACAGGATTTGAACATGGCATCAGTAATGTGCCATTGAGGCTCAGAGATATCCATTGTTCAGATATCAATAACTCATTCTGTAATTGCACCAAACCTAAACGGCACATTGTTTATGAACCACTGGTGAAAGCATGTGTCTGAAAGCGTGTGTGTGTGTGTGTAAATGAGTGTGTTTGATGTGTGTGTGTCTGCCCCAGAGTACCTTTGAGAGGGGGGAGTGTGAGGGGGGAGAGAGGGCGCCCGTAGGCCTCGGTCTGTCCCGGGCCCTCGGGCTCTCCTGAGGAGCCCTGCAGCGCCGACACACTCTTGCCTGCGTAAACGTTCTCCAGCTCCGTGTAAACACCTGTCATCTACGGGTGGAGGCATGATCAGCTGTTAGCACACACATCGCCGCGCACATCCCCTTTGAAGGTCTGCTGGATTTTGCACTCACAGCCCGAAATGTGCGTAAAAAACTAGCAGACCTTCAAATGATGTGAGGCCAGAAAGCACAGATAACATGAAAGCTAGCAGGTATACCTACATGGTTGAGGTCAGGGGACTCGGGGAAGGAGGTCCCGTCTCCTGACTGCCTCTCCTCCGGGCTCCCGGATTCATCCACATGTATTCCTAAAGCACAATAAGGCATGAAGAGTGACACATGGACTTCCATCCACCCTCCCAGAGAGGAGAGAGGATGAGGTAAACAAGGTGGTGGAGGAACAATGGCGATTGAAAAGCATGAATGAAATCTGCTGGAGATATCACTACATGTCCTTCAGAGAGCTTGAACATTATAGAAAGCTGAGATATGAGGAGTTATTCTATGAATGTATGGTGGCCATTTTTACTCTCTTGTAGCCTCCATACATCCACAGAGGATTTACTGAACACACTATCTTTCCAACAACAGTTACAGACGTTCACACCTGGGAGCTGACGGGTGCAAACACTGCCTTATTAGTGACTGCGTTTCCGATGCCTTGCCTGAGGGAATACGAGTAGTTCAGTTCCTGCTGAAGGAAGCTCCTTTACTGTCTCAGATTTTCTTAGTTTGTCGAGTAATTCCACTAAAAATACGATTAAATGATACTGAATCCATAGCGAAGATGAGTTTTTATTACAAAACCAAATAACATATTAATTTTACCGTTTTAATTGTTGTTAAACCTTTAAAAACTTTTTGGGGTCACCAGGGTGGAGTGGCAACAAGTTGTAAACACAACGCTGACGAATCATCACCTATAAAGTCAATATCGTAATAATATTCTGTTGCAATTAAAAAATAATTATCCTAATATAAATTATCAACTGGGGAAGCTTCACGGTTATATCAACTAGATGATATTGCTTTCCTCTTAAGAGAAACATATAATAATGTTGTCTCAGTTCAGGTAAACATTTCTTCATTTCCCATTTGGGTGAGAAGTTTTTGATCCAGAATGAAAAGCTATTGAAACCAAACCTGCGGAGATTACACAGATGTTATGTTAAAGTGAGTCCTTCTTCTTGTGATTTGCAGCGTACCCATTCCCAGGTGAGTCCCGATGATGCAGTCGTCAGAGCTCCTCTCTCGGATCGGGTTGCGGAACGACGACCCCGAGATCCTCATGGAGCTGCTCCGCCGGTGGTGCTGCTCCGGGCTGACGCCAGGCTCCAAAACGGCTGCAAAACACACACATTTTTATTTCTTTGTAGTTTATTCTTTTTTTTGTTTCAACTTAATTTAATCAACATTATTATTTTTTTAATGTTTGGGTATTTTTTTTATTAATTTGATTTTTTTTAACATAATTATTTTTATTTTTTTGGTATTTTTTCTATTTAAATCAGCATTTTTTCTATCATTGTATTCTATTTTAAAATGTAGCATCTGTCATGAAACCCAATTTCCCCTGAGAGTAATAAAGTAATCTGATTCTGATGTTCTGATATTCAGCATCGCTTTTCGTTTTTGCAAATTATATGCACCTGCTCCTTTGTGTTAATTATAAAAAACAACCTTACAGTAAATCTAACACCAAGTTGTTGATAAAAAAACACCTTGATTTTCAATTAAATCACACATTTTTAATTATGTTTTTCCACTTCACATGTTAGGAACCATCAACCATATCCAACAAGCATCTTATTGACTGAGTCCTGATACTGTTTCATTATTTCCACGATGTGTTTTTTGTGCCTCACCGCTGCTCTTGAAGCCCAGGAAGCGTGACAGTTTCCCCTGGCAGCGCTCCTGCTCGTCGTACGTCAGGAGCTGGTAGATGAACTGCCAGATCAGCTGTTTGGCCGGAGTGTCCAACACCGGAAACACGTCGACAATCAGAGTGTCCACATTCCTGCAAACACACACGCACCATGACATCAAGTCAAATTCCTCGTATGTGTAAACCTACCTGGTAATAAACCAGTTTCTGATTCTGTTTCTCATTCTGACACACAAGGCCTCCGTTACACATCGTTTTATAACCAAACCCCATGCTTACTGCAGGGTAATTCATTGCCACATGATGTAAGGATTTGGCATCCATAACGACACATAAAGCTGAGAATGTGTAAGAGAATATGAAAAGGTGGGAGGATAACAGGGATGACAGTAATGCCTTCAGAGGTTAGTACTGTATGCACACTGTGTAGTATTGATGCTTTCCTTATAATCCTGCAGAATCACATGTTCGCATCATATGCAAATCTCTATCCATATGTCTTTCTCAACTCTTCACCCTCGAGAAAATGAAATCTAAACCTAATGGGAATCATCAACCCTCTGTTTAGCTTTGTGCATTTTTTTTGTCGTCGCTGCTTCGTGGTTTTGTATTTCTCTCTATTTTGCTGCATTAAGAGCTTTCTGCAGCCTGTTATATATCCAATATGGTAAAAATAGTTTCCCAGGCAACAGCTACATTTCTGTCAATGTCAGCGATCGGGTTAATGGAGTTTGAAAAATGCTGAAAACTTTCAGTTAGATATTTTCCTGCAGCCTCCTTCTTCTATTTGGAGCTTACGTCATAATAAGCTGATGTTTCCAAGTGAAGCTGCTTCGGGCTGTTCCGTCAGGATTCCTGACATCTTTCTTCTCTCTATACAACATCCCTGAGCTCTTTTCCATCTGTTCAATATTGCATTGTTGCGGTCTGCAGATGTTCTTGTTTCCAAATCCTTAAAGAGGCCCTATTATGCTTTTTGGGGTTTTCCCTTTCCTGTTGTGTGTTATATGAGGTTTTTAGTGCATGTAAATGGTCTGCAAAAGAAGTTAGTTTCTCTCCCACACACCCCCCCTCCCCCCTGCCTGAAACTCCTCCATTGGACTCCATTGTTAACTTCTGAAAAATAGTGACATCATTACATAACACTCGTGCTTCTATTGGATAGCGCTCCAACACATTGTGCGTGATAGGTTAAGGGGCGGGACATCCCTAAGCGGTTGACCAATCACAACAGAGCCGGCCAGCTAACCAATCAGAGCAGACTGGGCTCTGGTTTCAGACAGAGGGTGAAAAGAGGTGCAGCAGCACAGGCAGTATGAAACAAATAAAGAGCTTTTTGAACATTAAAGCATGGAGACATGTCCCAGTAGAGACACTACATACTGATATACACCTGAACATCAGCAGGAGAGGACTCTTTAAAGTAGAGACACTACATACTGATATACACCTGAACATCAGCAGGAGAGAACTCTTTAAAGTAGAGGCACTACATACTGATATACACCTGAACATCAGCAGGAGAGGACTCTTTAAAGTAGAGACACTACATACTGATATACACCTGAACATCAGCAGGAGAGGACTCTTTAAAGTAGAGACACTACATACTGATATACACCTGAACATCAGCAGGAGAGGACTCTTTAAAGTAGAGACACTACATACTGATATACACCTGAACATCAGCAGAATAGGGCCCCTTTAAACAGTACATCCTCTGCCCCCCTCCTCCCCTCCTCCCCTCCCTCCCCCTCCTCCCCTATACTGACCTGTGCTGGAAGAAGGTCTCCAGGGACTTGCAGACGGTGTATCTCTCCTGGATGGTGAGCAGGTGCTCCAGCTGCTGGCTGAAGGTCCGCCCGTGGACTTTGATGCTCGGGGGGAGGATCTCTGCGACCCACTGCAGAGAACTGAGGGCTGGAGACCTGCAAGGATTTAGTTATATTTTAATTCCTACATTTATATTCGCCAAATGATTGTTTCTCCTTTGTTCTGAAACACCCAGTGTCATTTAACAGAGGGGTCTGAGGTTTGGTAGCGGATTGATATGCATTTGTGTTTCAATTTAATGTATTATTATGATTTCTGTATACTTCATGTTATATCTTATTTATTATTGACTTTACTTTTCAATTTCTTTCCCTGAGTTTGCAAACCCCCCACACTTTTGTTCTATTTTGTATCCATCCAACCTACACACTCCCCTCCAGACTGTGTGTTTAGATCACACACTGACACACACACAAACAAACAAACACACACACCAAGATCAAATCAACACACCACCTTTCATAACCTTCTCTTATTGCTTGTCTAAATATTGATGACTGGCCTGTATTGACTTGTCTTCCTGTTAGTGTTTGCCTTACAAAAAATAATAGAGACTGAGGTTAGTGTGTGTCCCTGCAGACTAGGGGCTGCTGGGTAATATCAAATCCAAATGTCAGGTGTGTTGTTGGAGTGTATTGACCTGGAGCGAGGCATGGTGGAGGGGGCTCGGCTCGGGGATTCCTCCGGGTCGTTTTGTTCTGAGGAGAACTCAGACGGCCCGTCCTCCACCACCAGAGTGGGCATCGCCCCGCTGCCCTGAAGCATGGACACCACCTTCTCATGGGAGCAGTTCCTGCAAAGAGAGAGAGAATGTGAGAGGGACAGAAGTAAACAAATGGAGAGTCAAAGTCAACTTTAATGTCAATCTTTCAGTTTGTGTGTACAGACAGGTCGATGGACTTTTGGCTTATAGAAGATGGATTGAAGAAATGAAATCTATAAAACTCATGAAACCAAGGAATTGATATATCAAGGAGGTCCTTAACAATTTTGAGAGACGTGAAGAAATAAAATGATCAAATAATACACATTTTTAATATTGTTCTTTTTCCTCTTACGTTGTTTATCATCCTGCAGCCCACAGTTGTTCAATTTCAGAATGAAATACAATAAAATAATGTTAATGTAAGCAAGCCCAGCGACAACATGGCTTCTCTGAAAGTCACTGTAAGGCTCACACTTACTATTCTTAAAGGGGACCTATCATGCAAAATGCACTTTGGTACGTCTTTTATACATGAATATGTGTCCCCGGTGTTCCAGGGAACTCACCAAGTGTCAGAAAACACAACCCTCTCTATTTTCCTCCATACCCAAATCTCTAAAAAAGGGGCTGCAAAGGATCTGATAAAAACTGATCCAGATTTGAACACTGTCCTGACGTCAGGACAGTGGCGCTACGGCTATTGGGCCAACTCCACCAATCAGGAGGAGACAGCCACGGACATTGCTGTTCGAAAGCGCTGGAGACGCTGTAGTACATATGCCAGGCCTGTAGATGGTGCTGTTCTCACAGAATCAGCCCTTGCTAAAAAAGTGCAAATTGAGCAAAATGAGGCATGGCCAAAATGCATGATCTGTTTAGTATTTTGAAAAAAAAAAAGTATAAATATGCCTTATATAGGTATGGACCTACACTATATTATTCAAATATAGCATGATAGGTCCACTTTAAGTCAAATGATGGTTTAATGTAAACACAAGTTATTACATTTGTTGTTATCTTGAGAAAATGTGCTTTGTCAATAATGAGGTGATTAGCTTATGATCTTGAGATAACATGACTAAGAAATGGGATTTACAGGGATGTAAAACACCTGAGATAAGGAGCAAAGAAATCTCTCTGTTCATAGAAACCGTTCACCATCTGCTCTCTTTGTAAACACGACACTGATAGCTCCGACCTGTCTTGTTCTTTATTTTCTTCCTCCCTCTGGTGAACAACTCCCACAGTTTTGCCGATCACCTCCTACTGCTGCAGCACCGTGTTATCAGGCAGAGCAGCAAAATTATACAGCGCCAATCAAACCCGTACATCAGGCAGCCATGGGAACAGATTCTGCTCCCACATGGCGGCTATCAGGCTGGTGCAACGAGCCACACTGCGACTTCACACAGCACTGGCTCATGAATAGCTTCATAAACTGTGTTTTCTGAGTTCGTAAAAGCACAATTCACTCTGATACACCCTGCGATCCCACATACACTAAACAAATCAAAAAGGCAGGAGGTCAACAAGTTTTAAAGTCCACACAAGAACGATGACTACTCCTACAAAACATGGTTTAAATAAAGGCTGTGCTCAAGTGCTTCGGCCCAAACAAGGTTAAAGGTGAAGACAGTGGCTGCATTTCACTTCGGTTAAATGGATTCCTTGCGTCCCTCACTTGAGTCGTTTCCCTGCGACTAGTCCCTCCCACCAGGGAAGCATGGAGAGACGCAAGGAAACCACGAGAAGCAGGGAAATGAGTTTTAAGAGCAATGGGACGTCGTTTCCTCCGGAGTGTCACGTGAAGCGACGTCCGTTTGTGATGACGCCGCACAGCTGATCGTCTGACAGCAGCCAGATCAGTGCATGCGCTGCATCGTCCAATCAGTGAGCGATACACAGTAAGGGGGCGGGGCGAGTGTCTGAGGATTTCACCGGAGGATGGTCTGGTAGTTCCTCGATTATCGCTCCTCCGTTATCGCTCCTCGATCGTCTGGCACAAATAAGGCCACTGGGACGGTACTCAAGATGGCGCAGACAAATCAACTTCCGGTGATACCGAGCCCGAGGAGCAAGGAAATTAAAAATAACCGAAGTGAGACGCACCCAGTGACTTTCAGAATAGTCTGACATATTGGACATTTCTCACATAACTCCTGGCAGAAAAGCACATTTTCCAAAATGTTGAATATTTATCAGCTGTGTTTGATTTTTCCCACAGTATTTGACAATTAGGTTCATGATTTAATTGCATGTTAATGCTAGCACTTTCTATAACGCTCGTGCCTCTAATGTATTAATAACATGTTATATTTGCTGATAGCACTGTAAGACAAAAGCACTGATAAATAATGATAATAATCACAGGTCTTCAAGACAGTAACATATACAGCTACATAAAGTCGAAAGTAGAGATTGTTCCAGGTATTATCTGTAGTTTGAGACGGATTTGTTTAGAATTTTTGGGTAAACAAAACGTGTGTGTTGTTCTTGCAATTATTTAATATTATATTTTATTTATAAAAATACTACGGTATCAGTTTATTTCATTGTACTTGTTTCTACAATTAGTAAAATATCTTGGAGAGGAGGGACAGACAAAATACTACTAAGACTACTGCTTAAATACAAAATAATAATAATAATAATAATAATAATAATAATAATAATAATAAGTATAAAAAAAGCAAGAAAAATAATGGTAGCATGAAAAAAAGATTATAATAATAATATTGCTTTTCATTGAAGACAAACCTCATGTCCAGTCCATTCAGGAAGAGGATGCGGTCGCCTGTTTTCAGTCCACATTCCTCCGCAGGACTGTCTATAAGAGACAGGGAAGATGGCAGAAAATCAAACATCAATCAGGGTTAAAAAAAAAAGAAGGATCCTGGCTAACAAGGTGCGCTGAACAGATGGAAGATGGTGACTAATGTGATTCTGTCAGTCTGACATCCAACATAATGAGATGATCTTCATGCTTAATTGTCATTACATAAGGAAGCAGTGCTGTCAAAACATCCCGCTCCAACTGCACCGTCCTCCTCCATCGTCAACTCACTGCTGGATTTCACTCGCAATGAATCATGTTTGTTTTCTTTACCCCAAACCTGGAAATAACAAGCTGTTTGATTACGCAAAACTCACTTCACTTTGGCAGAATTACTGTATAACAATACATATACAAGTTAAGCTGATGCTTTGATCTAAACCTAGAAGAGATCCTGCGTTAGCTTTCAATAGCAAAACACTTTTAGGTGTTACATAAATCATATATAAATTATTATTTATGTAACATTGTAGGCCAAGGTGCAGCCAAAACAGATGAGTTTGAGTCTGCGATTGAAGATTCATATAATTATAGATATTAAACACGACTGTATATGTTGTAATATTCATGTTTTTATAGATACTAATATATTAAGTTCAATTCAATTTTAAAAGTTTACTTTTAGTTCTCCAAGTTGATTTTAATATATATATTTATTTATTGTATTTTATTCTCAAATAGAACAACCGTTAGAAAATCTAATTTCCACCCAATATATTATTATTATTATATTTTTACAAGTTGAAATTTCTATATTGTTATATATTTAATATTGTTGTTTCTTTTATATAATTTTGGTTTCATTCTAAAATGGAGCACCTGTGATCAAATCTATTTTACCCCTGGGATAAAAACAAAACATGTCTGATTCTGTTTCTGATTCATGTGATAATGTCATGTGTGCACATTCAAAGGCCACGAGACAGATCTTAAATCACAGTGTTTGGTGTTTTCTTGTTCATCAGAAAAGGATCTGTGTTCAGATGAGAGGCTCTGCACCCCCTCCTTCTCCATATCGTCCTCCATAAGGCCCACTGAGTCAGCGCTGCCGCTTCAGCACATGATGGTGGGAGATAAGGGTGGGCGGGAACAGTGCCGTCATCTCACACACACACACACACACACACACACACACACACACACACACACACACACACACACACACACACACACACACACACACACACACACACACACACACCACACACACACACACACACACACACACACACACACACACACACACACACACACACACACACACACACACACACACACACACACACACACACACACACACACACACACACACACACACACACACACACACACACACACCTGAGGAACCTGGTAAACTCCCTCACCAGTAAGTTCACAGCCTCTCATGTCTGGTGCTTTTATTTGGGAGAGCAATAACAGTTAATTAAAAAACATTTTACTGCTGGAAATGAAAGAAAATGGAAGTAATTAATATGCTCACTAGAAGCTCTTTCGCCGAGTTTTATTTTTCTGTGAATAATGTCTCTGGTAAAAGTGGTGTTTTTTCCAAATGCACCGCAGAGGAGATACACCAACACAAATGATTGATCAGATAATAAACTAGAAAATTGAACAACAAAGTGCAGATCTCTTCTAGGTGTATCTCCCAAACCTTAAAGACTTGAATGTCACTTAATTGTCCCTCACCGCATCCCTTAAAGGGGCCCTGTGATTAATCCCAAAGTTCCATCAGGAAGGAGTTTCTGGTGACATCACTGTGTAACACTTGTGCTTCTATTGGCTAGCCGTCCAACAAATTGTATACCAATTGATAACCATGTATATATTAGACATCTCTAAGTGGTTGACCAATCACAACAGAGCCGGCCAACTAACCAATCAGAGCAGACTGGGCTCTGGTTTCAGACAGAGGGTGAAAAGAGGTGCTGCAGCACAGGCAGTATGAGAAAAATAAAGGTTTTTTGTTGAACATTAAAGCATGGAGACATGTCCCAGTGGAGACACTACATACTGATATGAACCTGAAGATGAGCATGATAGGGCCCCTTTAAAATGTGTTTATTTAGGCATTGTTAATCTCTGCAAACATAAGAGATCCTTGAGCAAACAGTCATTTAAGAGCAGCTAATTATAAGAGTCCATATCAGCGTCCATTAAAGATGAAAAGAGGTAATCGGGCTGAAAACAAGGACCCTTTTCTGAGATGCTTGATCAGTAATCAAATGATATATAAAAGTGTGACGGATGTGACTAAAGTGCATGATAAGTATGAACATGAGATCAAATTATGTCATTTCTATTTAAAACACCCCGTTTTTTTTTATACCTCGTTTGTAATATATTGCATCGTGACAACTCAATTTACAACAATGTGTATTGAACATGAAAATAAACATGATGCTCAAAGTGTTTGTTCCTGCACAGAACAGCCTGTGCCGAGTGTTTTCCTATTACCCTTTTGTTGGTGAGTCACGTTTACACACACACACACACACACACACACACACACACACACACACACACACACACACACACACACACACACACACACACACACACACACACACACACACACACACACACACACACACACACACACACACACACACACACACACACACACACACACACACACACACACACACACACACACACACACACACACACACACCACACTCACCCACAGAAAACACACTCTCACACACACAGAGGAGGAATCCATCAGGAGTGTGTGTGTGTGTGTGAGTGTGTGTGTGTGTGTGTGTTTTTAAACCAGAATCAGTACCTGAGATCACGGAGTCGAGGCAGACGGGGGCGTGGCCTCGCAGCGTGAAGCCGAAGTTCTTCTTCCCCCGGTAAACACGAACGATCCTGAGGAAAGAATCAGATTCACAATCAGATTTTTTTTTTTTTTTTATCTTAAATTTTTACGGGCGAAATTGGGTTTTATGGAAGTTCCTCTTATATAAAATAAAGAAATACATTTATACAAGAAACAGGAGATACATTATTACATAAAAACTTTACAGAGAGCATCATGACATCTTTTGTATTTACTTTCGAGATAATGTTGTTTGTTTCTCACAATTTAAGCTTATTTTATGCTAAGAGCTTTTCCTATTTCTTCCGTTTCTGTTTTTTTGTACCTTCTCTGCGGGAGATCAAATTGAATCAAGGATTATTATTATTATAATAAAGGATTAAACACAAGGATTACAAACAGCGTCATGAAAAGTATTCTTGATTTAAGACTTGTTTTATTCTACGTTATTATCAACATTTGACTTCTTTTAACATCCTATTTTTCTCAACCACTTTTAAAGCAAGTGCATTTAATTGGCCCAAAAGGTGCTATATAAATAAAGTTTGATTGAGTGACTAAAATGTCAGCAAAAATCCCAAATGACCAAATATATTTAATTCAGAATGATAGAACAGACAGGTGGGAAAGCCTCACTTTTGAGAGCTTGAGATGAAACAATTAATCCTAACAATAGTTTCCAGCATTCATCGTGAAGTCCTTTCACTTTTCAGATGCTTAACATCCGTTGTGTGTTTGGGAGGATTCACTCTCTGCTGTTTACCAGACTGATTGTGTTTTCATGTGTCTCTTTCTGTAGGTGGGAGTCTGGTCGCGAACAAAACAATAATTTAGGAAAGGACATTCTTGTTATTAAAGCGTTGACATTTTGCTGATGGTGGTGCTTTGCTACGGTCCCCCCCCCCCCCCCCCCCAGTGGAGGAGAACAAGCAGAAACCTCCCGTTAAGATGAGACACTTATGGTTTCTATCCACCAGCGCGTTGCCTTGGAAACCGCGAAAGGGTACACTGCTTCGATATGTAAACAGGGGGAAGACAACAACAAAAAACCGAGGGAAGGAAAACAGACAGAGCCGTCCTTTGATAGACTACTGGCTGTTATGCAAGACCAGCTAAATGCAGATGTGTGTGTGTGTGTGTGTGTGTGTGTGTGTGTGTGTGTGTGTGTGTGTGTGTGTGTGTGTGTGTGTGTGTGTGTGTGTGTGTGTGTGTGTGTGTGTGTGTGTGTGTGTGTGTGTGAACACTCTTGACAAACTGAGAGACTTTCAGGCTGCTCAAGGCCTCTCCTGATTCCCTTCTTTCGACACCAGCTGTATCTACGATTTGACATGATTTCACCCCAGACATTTTGCAAAGGATTTTATTTATAACAACCCAAATTAAACAATCAGTCACTTTATAACAAAACCACTGAGTGTGCACTATGACAAATGAGTACAGCAGCAGGGAATCCATTAAAAAAAATCTTGAGATCACAAGTTAAATATTTAGTTTACTCGAGATAACAAAGATAGTTTTCTCTGGTTAATTTATGTCTATTATTAAGAAATCAAAAGTCAGATTTAAATGAGATAAGTAGTCATTGTAGTTGTATGAGGAGAGAAAGGAAACAGTAGCCTAAATCAGCACCATGAGCCATGGACAGCTCAGCTCAAAGAGGCTCTACTGTGCTCATTTCCAGGTGTATATCAGTATGTAGTGTCTCTACTTTAAAGAGTCCTCTCCTGCTGATGTTCAGGTGTATATCAGTATGTAGTGTCTCTACTTTAAAGAGTCCTCTCCTGCTGATGTTCAGGTGTTATCAGTATGTAGTGTCTCTACTGTGACATGTCTCACAATGCTTTAATGTTCAAAAAGCTCTTTATTGTTCTCATACTGCCTGTGCTGCAGCACCTCTTTTCACCCTCTGTCTGAAACCAGAGCCCAGTCTGCTCTGCTTGGTTAGCTGGCCGCCTCTGTTGTGATTGGTCAACCGCTTAGAGATATCCCGCACCTTAGCATATCACGTACAATGTGTTGGAGCGCTAGCCAATAGTAATGAGTGTTGCATAGTGATGTCACTATGTTACATAAGTAAACAAAGGAGATTTTAGCCTTTGCAGACCATTTACTGTAAGGCTGTTTACAGTGTCAAACATGTAAGGATAGCCATGTATATATAGCTTTGTCTCTAAGTGTCTATCTATCCGGATCTATTCCTCTCTCCATCAATCAATCCCAATCTGTATATTTCTCATTTCTCCTACAAAGACAAAGACTGACCTGAATGTTATCTCCAACATCCATCAATATATCTCTGTTGTATCTCTCTGTATCTCCTTCTATTCCCCTCCGCTACCGGCCTCTTAAACAAGGCCCGGCCCCCCCGCTGATACTTTACCTCTGCCACATCATAGACTATATGCATTACATTAATGCACACAATGTTCCTACTCCTTTCTGCACATATTCTGATTTCACATTTCTTAGTTTATATGCAAAAATCCATTCATAGCATTCTATTTCCCTGCAAACTACTGCTTTATTTATCTTATTGCTATTTAACTGTATTTTATTACGGTGTAAAAAAGATTTTGTGTTTTATATTAGATTTCTTGTTTTTTATATTTTATGTATGCACCATGACATCAAGTCAAATTCCTAGTATGTGTGAACCTACCTGGCAATAAACCTGTTTCTGTTTCTGATTCTGATTCTGATTCTATGTGTCTATCGCTATATTTTACCTTATTTTTTGAATAGCTATTAATCTTCAACTCTGTCTCTATCTCAATCTATTTTCCATCAATTTAAGTCTAGTTTCTTACACTGGAGAGACAGCAGTGTTACACAATACTCTAGAGAGGGGTGTTATTTGAGTTTAACATGCTTTTGTGACGGTGCCTTTTGACCCACATGACGTCAGTTCCTGTCTCATTTCACACAATCGGTCTTGCCTCCTATTGTAATGAGACCTGCCGGTGTTATCACACTTGACATATTCATATATCCTGAGTGAGTGGACGGAGAGACAGATCTCAGGGTTTAGATGGTGTGGGCGTGCACTGCCACCCTGACTGTAATCCTACACTAAGTCCACTGTGGTGTTATTAAGTGGACAGTCGTGTAATCAGTGTGTAAGTGGGTGGAGGATAACATGAGAGGGTGAACGGTCAGTGCAGTGCAGGATTAACACGTTGAATAGATGAAGGGATTTCAGGAGGGGAAGGTAGTTTCAGTTTTTAAAAAGGTCTGGTTATTTGGCTTAATAAAAACTGCGCTTGAGCTCTTTGTAACATGTGTCGTAGGGTTTGAAAACGTCTTCTTTTACACACGGATTTGGGGTTTCATGAGGTCAGCTTGCGAGTAGACGCTGAGGAAAACGTGAGGTAAAAGATGAAAGAATCTGAAGATGACAGGAAAACAGGAAGGATGGAACAGAGACACACTGTTGTCTGTTCTAGTTAGATTTGTAAGACATAATGCTTATGAGTGTCTGCATAATAAAGTGCATTTTTGGCATTAGATCAGAGATTAGGGATTGTTAGATTTGGAAGGGTTTTTCCATATTATCATAACTGTGATCTCTTGTGTGCAGTTCAATATCATGGTAGATGAGTGTAAACCAGAGCCTGGTCTAAGAGAAATACAGGAATTATTATGTAACAAATATGAGACGGTTGCATCCTTTAATTATGCACGGGGACCTTTCGATCCACGATGACCTCATTAAAGATCGTTTGTTTTCCTCTAAAAAAGGATGTTTACTATAAACAAATGTCTCCTATGTGTGAAAAAGATTGTTTTCCATGAAAATTAAAGTGATCCAAGTATGTTTAAGGGTCCATTTGGATTAAGATTGGGATATCACGAATCAGGATAAGCATGACATCCATTTGTTATATGATCCCATTCCCTGTGGAAATGAACCTGTGGATTACCTGATTTCAACACTAATCAGATCCTAACGGCCATAAGACTGTTGAACACCTGAACTCGAACATCCATAACATTCACCTGTTTGCAACTTACAAATGATGTATCTAATATATCATATTCCAATTACTTGTATATAGACTCTTATTGCACTATTTCTATTCTATTTTATTTGTATTCACAATCTGTTTTATTGTGTTGCACTGTTGGAGGAGCCTGTGACCTAAGATTTGCATTGACCATAACTACACTGTAGCTACGTACGAATGATAATAAAAGCCTTGAATCTTGAATTTAACAAAAAGAACATGTGTGCTCACCTCTGATTGGGTCCGAGGGGGGGATGTGGCGGTATCCCCGAGCTGGACTTCCTTACCCCCCGGTCCCTCTCCCTCTCCGTCTCCCCTCTCCCCCCTGGTTCCCCATCTCTTGGCACCGAGCTGGCCCGTTTGGACCCGTGGTGCCGGTCCGAATGATCCTCGCTCCGACTCCTCCGGATCCTTCCCTGCGGCTCGCTGATGCTCTTGCTGCGACAGAGCCGGTTGATCACGTTCTGGGACACGGACTCGTCGAAGCGCTGCCGGTGCTTCTTGGGAATGAAGATTCTGGCAAACATGGTGGCATGTGAGGGGGGGGGAATAAAGAGGGCGACTGTTAGTTTTCTGTCCTCAAGAGTTGAAAAAAAAAAAGGTAAGAGTATGGATCTACATCACAGATCCACCTCAATCCATTTCGGAAAACACAAGACCTCGGATTTTCCCGGTGAAATAAGAGTTTTTAAGTCAGAATATCCAGCTTGAGCAGATTCTAAAAAGTGATTATCTTTGAAGTCCACTCTAATTCAATTCAACAGGCTTGAAGACTCAAAGAAAAAAAGGCTTTTGACGGACAGCTGACGGGTCTCTCTCCCTCTGGACTTGAGTCCCCAGAGACGAGGAAAGAAGAGAAGTGGAACAGGAAGCCAGAGATAAAAGATCTTTCTCTGAGACAGTGAGGAAAGGTTGCCGTCACTCGCTGCCTGCCGGAGTCTCACTGCAGCAGCGTGCGGCACCAGAGCCAGAATACAGCGAGAGGGAAAAGGTGTGGGAGTGGGCGAGCATGGGATTTCTCTCTCTCTCTATCTCCCTCTCTTTCTTTCTCTCACTCTCTCCCACACTTCCGTCCACGCTTCACCTCTGTGTCACTCTGTCAGTGTGAGCAGAAAGCTGTCATCATCGTACTGAACTCACACCTTACCATTCTGACAATGAAACACTCAACGTGCAACAAATCCACATTTCTTTAAGCTTTAAGAGGTAAAAGACTAGGAAGGAATGCCTAATCAAATCAGTGGGTGGATATGTTTCAGTTTGAATAATTATTCTGATTTAAATTGAGAGTCTGGTATATTTCCAACAGCTTCAGCTCTTAATGGAAAAAGCTCAGCTGTTGACATTTTCACAACATACTAACAACAGCGAGGGGAACAAACAACACACTGGAAGCTCCATTTTCTTATATTTCCAACAATGCTGGATCCTACAATTCCCATGATGCAACTGGAATTCTTTAAAGAGGCCCTATAATGCTTTCTGGGGTTTTCCCTTTCCTGTAGTGTGTTATATAAGTTAGTGCATGTAAATGGTCTGCAAAGGTTGAAATCCTAAATCCTCCAGAGGGCGTTTCGAGAATATATGTAACACTAGCACTCCTATTGGCTAACGCTCCAACACATTGAACGCGATAAGGGGCTAAGGGGCGGGACATCTCCAAGCGGTTGACCAATCACAACAGAGCCGGCCAGCTAACCAATCAGAGCAGACTGGGCTCTGGTTTCAGACAGAGGGTGAAAAGAGGTTCTGCAGCACAGGCAGTATGAGAAAAATAAAGAGCCTTTTGATCATAAAAGCCCATAATTTGTGATATTGTACTGTAAAAAATAAGTTTTGAATGATTTATAAGCTAAGCTAAGCGGCTACTGGTGATGGCTGCACAGTTACAGAAGAGACTCTCATCTAACTCTGGGCAAGCAAACAAATAAGTGAATTTTCATTTTCTTCATTAAAGTGCCTTATCTTACAAGTCTACCATCAGTCTGTGATGAATTGCAGATAGTTATTATTATTATTTACTCTGTTAGCTTTACTCAAGAATCACATAATTAATTTGTCTCCATGGCAATCATGTCAATTAGGGTTAGGGACTAAAAAACTAAAGACTCAGAAATGCAGTTACATCACTATTTGTGCCCACATAGAAAAGGTGTTTATGGTAAGGCATTAGAGCAATTTAAGGAGAGTGTGGATATCCTCATGGGTATAATTATAAAACGTGTGAGTGAATGCCTGTGTGGGCGGCTGCCTTGTCTCTTTGCAGCAGTTCTGATCACTGAATGAAATGTTTTCTCTTGTCCTTGTGTGTGGGTGACGACGCATTTTGTTTAGTTCTCATTGTTTGTTTGTTACGCAGCCAGCCCTCAGTATGAAACAGCATGTACAGTACAGTACGCTTACCCCCCTCCCCCCCCCCGTTTGACTTTTTGCTAGTTTATTGTGCCACAAAATCCATGTTTACTGTTCTACTTCTCATTTTGTGTGAACAGAATGAATTGGAAACACAGCGTTTCAGATTCATTTAAGTCAGACATGTAGTGTTGTTAACATATTCTTTCAAAAGATAGTTTACAATTAAATCACCATTTTTCACATTCTTTTATTTTCCGACTTGAGGAAAATGCTATGAATTGCTCTTTTCAAAGTAAGGTATCATAAAATAGGTAATTCTTGTGAATGCTAATAAAGTAAGGTATCATAATTGCACTAATAATAACATTTCTTTACACAGTTTTGGGGGCTTTTTGGCGTTCCATGTATACAGCAGTGGTTTTCAATCAAGTTCCCATCCCCCAGAATTATCAAGTTAGTATTTGCTAATACCAAACATATGAATTGCTCATAAACTGTATGAAGATGAAGCAATAGATGCACAATATGCGGGCCATTGGTCGAATACATTTTGGTGTCTTATAATGTCGGCATTTGATTACTGTAAGCCTGACAGCTTAAAGTGGACGTTTGTGCTGTGAATGGGTTAAATGAGCGTGGCTTAATTAGGGTGCTTGTGTAGGTGTGACGCCATCCATTGTGTTAAAAACTCAGGGGGTGGAGGAGATCGATAGACAAACAGAAAACACCACATCAAGGTTTCAGCTGGGTCTCTCTGTGTGAAAAAGGTCTGCAAAGGCCAATGGTCCAATAGCTAAACTGACCCACTGACAGTTCTTTATTAAATCAACAGTTTGACTTTTTGGCAAATAATCCTTTTTGCTTTCTTTCCAATAGTTAGATAAGAAGATTAATATCCATTTCTGACGGAGTAAAGATGCTATCAATCTTAGCGTTTAACTCTTGGCAGGAAGAATAAATAAGAGTATTCTCAAAAATGTCAAACGAATGCTTTAGTCTCAGTTAAATAGTGTAAAACTGACTAAAATCATCTCATTTTGGAATAACACAAGAGCCTGAATCTAAATGAAGTGTGAACATTTTAGACTGCACTTGTTAATGGGAATGAAAGAGAACCAAACCCCAGCTGACACATGGAGCGAGTCAGAAGTTAATAATTTGATTCCATGTTTGCTGAATCACAGCGGCATTAACATCCAGCTGAGAGCGGAGACCCAACACAAATTTGCACCGAGTGTTTTGATTCCCACATACAGCAGTCTGAAGCTGATGTAGATGAATCAGACATGCTGCGCCGCCAGGGGAAAACATCACCAGTTGAGTAATTAGCAACAAACACGCCACTGAAGTCAAGAGAGAGACAGCAGCTACCACGGCACGTACTGAAGAAGCAAATTAAGAGGTGTAAAAACAACTTTGACAGCTAAATAAAGCAATTAGGACACACTTATTGCACAGAGACACGGATAGAGAGAGGGAACAGCTGCAGAGTGATTGTGATGCACCACCACGGTTCATTTCATTATCTGGAGTTTTATGAAAAGCTGTTCAGGTAAATATAGAGGACCTTAAAGGTCATGCTTTTTAGGTTATTACCCGTCCCCTTGTGTGTTATGAAGGTTTGTATGCATGTAAATGGTCTGCAGAGTCACAAACCCTCAAAGTACACCCTGTAGCGAGTAAAACTCTAACACAGTCTACGCTGCCCCAAAACGCCTCGTTGGAGATTTCTCATTTTCCATTGTTTACGTCCTGGGTACTCTGACGTGTGAATACCCAGAGGCCGCACCCTCTGCCAGCCTTTCAAGAAACAAAGCTTCCCAAACCTTTCAGCGATTCATGCCGGATATGTACAGCACTGAAGAACGATGCTGTTCCTACTTTGTTTGGACCAGCGGAGAGTTCGGGTACACAACCTGTAAGTATTCATTGTTGTTGTATTTATGATGTTTAAAACAAACAAGGTATCTACCACGACTGTTTAAATGGGTAAACGTTTTTCGGGCTACTAAGTTGGGATCGCGGAGAAATGCTCTCCGCAGACCCATGCTCACAGCGTTATAAACCTTTTTCTTACTCAATATCAAGCCACACTTATTGTTTTTACTTCGGCTGTGAGTGTTTGTGTGTGCTCAGGATGAGTTTCGCTTGTTCTCCTGTATCGCCGACACGGAAACCTGTCCGCTCCTCGCAGCAGCTGCGAGCAGCAACGAGCCTCAACGTCCCGACCAATCAGAGCACAGTGGGCTCACAGGGAAGGGGGGGGGGCAGGAGCTCCAACAAGCCGTTTAGGACAGAGAGTGAATACACATACTATACAGAGATGCTGTATGAGAAACCAATGAGATTTTGGAAAATTGCACAATATAAATCTATTCTAGTAGACCTCAACAATGGAAATATGATCAGTAGAAATGGCCATGACATGGGCCCTTTAAGACCTGTGCTGTTATTGCCTAGTGGGGGATAATGAAGTCCCACTTGCATGCGGATATTAAAGGTCACGGCTTCTGTTAACAACGCTGGTGTGAAGAGATCATTGAATAAACAGCACACCTTATCTCCACTCTTTAGTAGCTGAAGACATAGAGGTATTTTAAGATAGGCGTAGTAAGGAGTTCATTAGAGCCGGAACATACTGTCATTTTCATGCTGATAGTAAGAACATTTGATAAAGATGAAACAGAAGAAATTCTGATCCTTACAATTTGAGAGTTGCTTTTTGTACAGATATTAGCATGCTATCTTTCGGTGTCACAACAAATATTATTTTAAACATTGTAGATCAATAAAGGCATGATTCTGTCATGTCACTTCCTTTTGCTCCTCCTAGTTAGTGAGATCTAGGTCTGATTGTATTCTATATAGAAATACTGTTACATGTTCAACGTTTTTTTCCAAATTAAAGGTCCCCTATTACACTGTTTTTCATCAATATGTTATAGGTCTCAAATATATACAGAACATGTCTCTGAAGTGATTGGCTCCAAACACCAAACAGATCATTGCAGCATTACCCATAATCCCCTCTGTTTCAGCCCTGTTTCCAAAGTGCTGATTCTCTGTCTATTACTTTAGATGAAAATAAGGAGCCCCTCCCCACGCCCCTCTGAGAGATATTTGGTTAAAAAGAACACAATGGTGCTCTAGGAGGAGATTCA